AGAACTTAAGATAGATTTCTTTGAGAAATCACATTGTATTTCCTATCAAAAGGCCTAAAATTCCCAAAAAACCTTCGTTAAGTAGTTTTCAGAGAAGGGAACAAGTTAATGGTGCGTTTATCATACAATAAACTTATTTTACTGCATCCTCGAGAACAGGAAGCAATCTCTGAAGACAGGACGAGAAACATAACTTGTATCGTCACCCCGATCTCCTTCCCTAGGCTTACGCCACAATGCATATGTTGTTTCCTCAAAACAAAAAACATCCAGCCGATTATCGTTCCAATATCCTGTTCGAAAATTCAAATTTGGAATTATGCTCAAATTCGCGCCAAAGCCTACCCTACTTCCTGCGCACGTGGGGCGGCGCACGCGTCTCACAATACAAACTTTTTGCGACCATTCAAATAGTAACTACCGACTAATGAATCGTATGTCTATCTCGCTCTATTTTGGACGTAATTTGTTTATTCGAGAGGGATGGAGGAGCCGACAGTTGGCTGCGATCGGCGTATGCCGTTGCCATATGTTGTTGAGGTTTCGAAAATTACCCGGGTGCTCCAAAACGGCGACTTTTCGATAACTGCTTTGTCTATTCATTACGGATGATGTGCACGCGCATCACGAGATGTGTATTTAATGGGATTGACAAACGAACATCGGACAATAGCTTCGAATAATAATTTTGGTAATAATTAAGGTTGACGCATCAACTGCCATCCTCTTCATCTTTTTACGTCAAATGCAGAATTATTATTATAGAGCTACATGAAAACGCAGATGAAATATTAAGCTAGCGCCATGCATTGATTAATTTTCTTTTGACTAACTTCGTTGCGGGTCCAATGACAGTTCTAATTTCCCCCGGGACAAACTTGACCTTCACTGGTTGGGATTTTATTGGTGGTCAAGGTAGATCCTGGCTACACAGGAGTTGCAGCGGTGGGAAAGAGAGGTGGGAATAGTCCCGTTAGAGCCATGCATGGAGTTGGCAAATGAAACAACTGTTCTACCTTTTTAATAGTGTAAATCAGTAAACGATTTTCACTTTCACAGAAGTTTCAGTCCAGAAGTTGTGCAAGACGGATGCATCATACCTTAAAGTATACTATAGCATGTTACATAATATCTGTAAAAAAACAGATAATAATGCATAGAAGCCAACTTTATATTCTACCTAATTGATTTCGTCGATTTAATTACGAATTTCCAACCACCGCAGTCACGCATTCTTCACAAAGCTCTTTCATATCTCAAAGAAATGGCCTAATTTCACAAACGTAATAACCAATAGTAATTTCTATAATTGTTTTACCCATGACCGATCGATCGATTTTTGTAATGATCCAATCGCCGCACGTGTCAGTAAAAAATGGTCAGCAAGGACCAAGAACGGTAGGATTTGGGGATTGATGAGTTTGGAGTGTAATTGTGGCGTGAATAATCGCCTACTACAACTTTTTATGTAAACACAACACTATTTGAAACAGGAGAGATTAAATCTTTATAATCTAGATTAGGTAAAGTATAGCTACAGTATTGTTTCAAAATTTCAAAATGTAAGATTTTAGAGGCGTAAACTTTGGGGAAGTAGCTTAATCTAAATTAAATAAAAAAACATTATCGTGTTATTTACAACATCGTCATGTCAGAAGGTCAATTAAACTGCTTCTAAGCTTTAGATATCTGTCTACCATAGATTTAGTTTGGGACCTTTTTGAGCTGTAATTCATCTTGCTGGCATAATCATTCAAAAAACTAATTTTAGGATAGTCTTATAGCATTAAGTATGTTTTATGTACCAATTTATATGACATTAATAAAGATTAATTAAATAAATAAATAAGTGCCTTTCTAATATTGACGTTAAAAAACAAACAACCATAGCTTTTTTCAAATAACCCGTTAAAGAAAGTCGTCAACTTAAAAAAGCGGTGTTTATGATCAAAAGGACCCGGCCTAGTTAAACAGGGTTAATCTCCATAAATCGAAGCGCGAACTAAGTATAGCTGGCTAAACGGATAGTTAACCCTTTCCTAAACGACTGAGTCCATAAAAAATATAGTTTAGTTTACGTTAACTTTGAGGGATGTCAATGGGAATCGTTGGATTGGATATTATGGGATTTATAAAAAATTACTCTTTTTTAAATAAAAAAAATATGACTTATAAAAAGCAGTAAAGTAAGTTAAGTAATTTAAGTTATAAAACTTTTAACAACTGCCTGTATTCACCTACACAGGAAGACACTGGCTCCTGAAATACAGTTTACACTAGTTCAGGAGCCAGGGTTTCAATTTAAAATGTAACACTGTATTTACATCACTAAAGCTACTTCTATTCAAATTTCTTTTGTAATGCGTTTGATCAAGAAATAAAGAAAATCACATCTAATTAAACTTGTCAATTGTCTATCTTTATAAAAATCGTTTCTCTGTTCTCATAATGCATAATCCTTAGGTTTTTGGATGCAAAAAGTATGTACTGCATTTCAATACAATTTTACTATAGCTTAATGTTGAAATAAAAAGTTTTAGATAACATTTTCATATTAAAGTATCTTCAATTTCAAATATTTTGTAGTAATTAAACAAAATTTTTAACTAAACCCTCACTTTTCACGTTAATGGTCACTGATTGCGACGAGATTTTGATAAAGTCATTTGGACCAAGAGTCCGTTGTTTGTTTAGCATTAAATATTATAATAGGGGTCTAAACGATCCGTCGGTAAATAAAGGGTTGATTCCGAATTTATTGGCCCAACATATGGACGCTTTTTTTTGTTGGATCAAATATTTGGCTTGTTGATGATTTGAGTAAACATAGGATTTTGTATGATTGTTATTAAATATTAGCTAAACGTTTAGTGAGATGGAGTTTTAATTGAGACATCACCTTTGTTTTGTTTGGAGTTCTGTTAAAAATATTTTTGTAATAATTTCAAGATAAACTATTAAGGGCTGATTTTTCAATCATCAGATATCTTTTAACTGAAGAATAAACTTGCCATTTTGACATATTTCCCATACTGAAACTGTCAATATGCTAAACTTATTCTTCAGATAAAAGTTATCCGACTATTGAAAAATCAGCCCTTAATTAAAAAGCTTGTAATTTTAGTTATCAATTTAAAGTACCTACATTTGTTTCACTAACATACTTAGGTACCTAGTAGGTATCTGTTGTGGTATCTGGGTGCGTAGTTTTTGTAGAGCTTTATACAATTTTACATCACCAAAAAATCTAACAAAAGTGAATCTGGCAGATTCCAGCAACAGCCGACAGCCGCGACAAGCGCGCAGATTAAAAGCTCATAAGTCAAAAAATTACAAAATCAATCAGCACCAAGACACGGTAGCGCGAAGTCCCGCGGTGTGACCAGTGTTGCTACCGCGGGTGGTAAAAAAAACTGATCGATTTGCAAAAAAAGTGTTCACTTTCGGTGAATTCGGACGAAGCTGATTTTGCACGCCCACTCAGTGGGCAAACGCCGATGGACAGGTCGGAAAAAATACGCCAATCATTGTAGTTGTTTTTTGTTTCGCTATCATAGAACTGTGACGACAAAGGTTCCGACGGGACAAGATATCAGTTGAACTTAGTAAATAAATACTTTTGTAGATAAAACAAATACTTAGGCGGCTGCAAACATAATATGGGAAATAAAATATTAGAAAAAGGCAATTCAAGAAAATCGCTCTTACCAATTAAAATATTTATTTAAGTTGGGTTGAAATTTGAGTTTTCAATTTAAGTACTGTTGCTTGCGTATAAGACGAGTAATGATCACCCACCCACATTATTATTTCAATTCATTTAACTGTTTCGTATCAGATTAAAAGTTAAATGTATTAATTTTGCTTCTGTCACATTTTTTAAACAACTAAAAAAACATACACATTGGTTTCAAGTGCCCGGCAATTGAGGGAATAAACTGCTTTATCCAGGTCAGATCTGATACGCTAAATTACACAAGTACCCTCGCTAATGACAGCCATCGGGTCCGTCTCCGGGAGCACTTCAAATTACTTATCATAACAAACGTAAGTCGCTTATTTCCAGTTATTTCTCAACTCAAAGGATGTTCTGATTAAGTCATCACCTAAATGTGTCGATATCAACACTTAGCCGCCATTTTCTGAATACACGTCGTTTGCGTTTGTGATTGTTGGGTATCAAGATTTCCGGGTTGTATTTAATCTGGATTTTACGTTTCGAACTTAAGAGGAAAAACATCGGCATTACGTTTTTTCTGCTTGCATTTTAAGAGCAATTTCGTAAGCTAATTAAAACTCATTTGGACTTTTAATCTCTTACAATATTAAGATGCGTGTTATGACTTTCAAACATTAAAATTAACTATTAGACAGGTCAATAGACAAACTGATTTCATAAAATTTCCCTAGACCTCCTCAGATACCTTTCTTTATAAATAAGTCAATCAAAAGGTTCCCAAATCAATCGTCGAAAAAAGTTTTTCACACTAGCACCCGCGAATAATGAAACGGCGGGAGACCTGCGTTCTAAATTTAAATCGAATTCGAACAATGGCGTCACGCGGTTCGAGCCTTTTCGGGAATGACATCTAAAGAAGTGGCAAAAAACTGAGTTTTGTACTTACGCGCGTTCAGCTACAGGCTTCTGAATTAACAGATTAATTATGTTGTGGTATTCAATTTTTTAATTTAATTAGAATCGTCGGTCATGGGTGAAGGTTTGGGTGGGATATTTATTTTTTAGTACCTTAAAAGTCCCAATTGTGGGTCAAAACACCAAAACTAATTTGTTTCGATTGCTTTACACAATTCCACCTCAGGTGGTTTTGGGGAGATCTATATTGACGCATAGGATTGACACCATTGAACATTTTCACTGACAGAAAAATGTGCAACGAAAAAATTACGAAAAGTACGACCTATTTTGTAATCGGATATTTTTTTTCTAAAAACTTTTCGCGTTATCTATCTGTCAAAACTTCTGTCTTCTGTCAATCAATCAAAACCCAGAAATATTTTATCCCTTTTTACAAGACCATGTAAATATCGTTCAGTACACTAGCATGGCATGAGGCGTGCTTGGTGAGGCGATGGCGTCGGCGGTGGCGGCTCGGCTGGCGGGCAGCATCGCCAGAAACCCCCTGGCTGAGGGCCTCAACCCGAGGATCTCTTCGGAGACCTTCACGAAGGAGATCATCGATGATCATCAGGTTGATATGGATGACACCCTAATAATATATTGATCCACTAAAGCAATACTAACGTATTTACAAAAGTGAAATGTTTTTATGTGTTCAATGCTTTGATTTCAGGGTCTGTGTACTCGTATTTTTGCCGATTTTTACGTCGTCTATAGTGTTAGAAGTGGTATTAATATCAGTAATTTTTATCCAGAACCTGAACTCCTCTTCCTCATACACCCTGACGAGTGGCCAGAGCGAGTTCAGTGGCGATGTGGACCGATGGATCCGGGGCACCTCTATGGAGAGCACTGGAGTGCAGAATAGCAGGTCTTATGATCAATTAATTTGGGAAATATTGAAAACTCTAAACCAGCTACTCTTTAGGCTCTCCTTTTCTGAACCGATATCTTTACGTCTGGAGTCTCTTGCCCAGTTTATGCTACAGCTGCTTCCTTGCTCCACTATCCAGCGTGGCGCATAAGCCAAATCCTTTATTTTCCTCTGGAAAATTCAAGAAGAGGATTGTGGAGTGGAGACTTAATGAGCTGATGATGATGACCTTTTTCTAGGACCCGCCTAGTCCAGCGTTCAACCCTGGCCATGGTGCCGTCCCTGGGCACCTCGGGTATGTGGTACGTGCTCGCCATGATCCTGCCGCTCTTCAGCATCAACACCAACTGCACGCATTGGCGGTGTAACCCTAGGTAAATACCACAAAGCACGGGAATTTTTCCATCTCATGTACCAGCTGCAAACTGTATAGACTCTATACTATAGAGTCTCCAAAATTTTAGACTTCCTCATCTCATATACCCACGGCTGCAAATCCTTTATAGGCTCTTCATAGATTCTGTGTGGTAAAAAGAACCATGCGATGTCACTAGTTAGTGAATTAAATCGACTTTTTATTGACTTCAAAGCTACCAAAAATGTTATACCCATTTAAAAACTTATTTCAGCCAGATTTATTATTTTTATATCGATTTAGATAAATTGATAAAAAAAGATTGTCTTTAAGCCTATGCGCAGACCATTGATTTTTCGTCGACCGATAGTTTAGTCGGGCAGTTGATCAGTATGGGCATGTATGGAAGTGCGCACATTACGCCGATTCGATTTGGCCGATTCTTTATTACAATTTAAAATCGGGCACACCTATCGGCCAACTAAAAATCGATGGTCTGCGCCTAGTCTAAAAGAGAGAAACATTTAATATGGTCTCTCCCATAATAACTAGTCTCTATCCAATCCAGAGACACGTAACGCCACCTATTCTCAGTTGGCGTAAAATATCTGCCTTCTGGTTTTCAACCGAACCGGATCATCTTGCTAGTTGTGCCATCTACCGAGTGTCTGTTGAAGCTACTACTTTGTTGAGGGATGTTTTATTACCGCTCTACATTTTATTTAGCTTGAGTTTAGCAACGGTCACTAGATGTCCCGTTTTTGCTGAAATGTTATTTTTGTAAAAATATTTTTTCCCAATTGAAACTGTCTTACCAGAAAGAGTTAAACGCGCGTTAAATACTAATGTAAATAACATTGACTACGGAAAAGTAATTTTAAATTAGCGTTTAAGAGCGTTTACGCCGTTTGACGCAAAAACAGTACTTTTTCAACCCGTTACAATCATTAACCAGTTAAATTACAAATATGTTATAGGCATAAATAATTACGCAATTTCGTCGTCTAAATAGTTGAGAAAATATTTCGATTAGTGTAGTATTTAAAAATTCTATCAAGATAAGTCCGCACAGGTTTTGAAATTTCCACTTTAGCGTCAGTTTACAAACTGATTTTTTTATAAAAATACTGTGAAAACGATATAAAAAACATTTATATCCTATAGCATAGATCCTTAGGCAAATAGGTAGTTGAGAAAATTCTTAGATTTAAGCATTTTACAATAAGAAATCACAAATTCAAAGAACGTGAAATACCCAAAAATCAAAGTTATTTTTACACCATTATTCTTCTCTAATTCAACATAAAAATAGCTTAATATAATAAAATAACATCTTCTTTAAAATATTTACTTTGAAACGATATATAATTCATTGTTATTGTTTTGCTATAAACATTTGAAAAGTATTAAAAAACGCCGCGCGCGAATCATTTCCAATGATGCCCCTTGAAAGGCCGCGCTTCGCGTAAACGCTCTTAACGCACGTTTTACTTTTTGTGGTAAGTCCCTATGCTTTTCAGCCATCTCGGATCTTATAATAGAATCTCGACTTACGCCCGTATTCACAAACAATGCTTGCATAAGTGAAGCAGCAAATCGAATGCACAGCGTTGAATAGAGCTCTATGATTGGTTTGTGTGTCACCCTGTGCGTCCACGCGCACTGTGATATCTAACAGTAATGTTTGTAAATACGGGCGTTAATCATAATTACTAAAGTAAATACAAATGAGTAAGTCATCTTCATAGAAACGCCCGAGCGCGATTTGTATGTGAGCGCGCCAATACGCCAAAATGACCTACTCTTATGCTTGCTCTATCAACTGAATCTTGAACAAGCAAATGTAAATCGAGCAGTGTGATCTGTTATGCCCTCAGTGCCGTGCTGACCACTGCTGAGCTGGTCATCGCCCACATCGCGAGCATCTGCGAGAGGGTCCGGGCCCACCTCCGAAGGCTCGCCCAGGATCAGGTGGCCAGGGACCTGTTTGCGACCGCCATGGACGTCGTCCTGGTGGTGTACGCCGTCGGCTTCCTCATCCTCTCCATGTACCAGGCCTCGATTATCGGTTGAGTGGTTTTGGACTCTAAATTTACGGAAGTGACTCAAGACTCTTTTTTCTTTCAGAGGTTATGGACTTAATAGGCGATTCAAGACTTTGGCAATTTTGTATACTGATGTAGAGTCTGTTTTCTAAAGTTAGAATATTTTAATAATGTTAACATTAATACGTACTATTTAATATAAGTGTTTTTGACTCAAAGTTGAGTTACAGAATGTCACAAAATGAAGTGAATTTAGAGTCTAAACTTATAAATAGTGAAGTTTACAGTCGGTTTTAGATGCTGTCCGATGTTGTTGCAAATTGTTGTTCTATTACACTTTTGGTCCACAATATTGTGTTTTAATTAGTAAAGGTAGTGCTAAAAAGTTAATCCCTACTAACATTATAAATGCGAAAGTAACTCTGTGAGTCTGTGTGGCTTTCCCGCCTCCACTGAACCTATTTTGATGAAATTTGGCATAGAGAGAGATAGTTTGAGTTTCGGGAAAGAACATAGGATAGTTTTTTATCCCGTTTTTTGAAACATAGACGCGCGCGATACATGTGCATGTGGATTGAGTGATCCTTGCTTCAATCTTAACAAAAATCGAGGAAGTTTTACTTAAAATATGTTAAAACATTGCGATGAAGTTTAAAAATTTGTTAAACCTAAGATAAAAATGTTATGGCCAGTAAATAGGAGCACTCATACCGCACGCTTTAAGAAAACGTCAACATGTTTATTTTGCGCGATACAGTTTTTCTGTGCCGGACATTTCACGCGGACGAAGCCACGGGGAAAGCTAGTAAACGATAAATCACAGTGCCACCGCCACCACCGAATACACCACCACACATTACATGCCACTAGTTCACTCTATATTATTCTCTCAGCTGAAGAATAGATTAGAAAAATATCATATAGTTCCAAAATACTGGCGCCACCGTCAATACCGGATCGCTGGTTCCGATTTTTGCCATGTTGGAAACCATATAGTTGAACGATGGTAGCGCCGCCCTGTCATTGAGTTTGGCGGGACAGTTCAGCGCTTTGACATCAAGTGTCAATTATTCAGAAGTTTCACAGAATACCTTATCTAGTAGAGACAGTAAGCAGCACTTATGATAAGATAAGGGCAAATATAATAATTACATCACAAATAGCAATCAATCCCTACTATTTACAAGCTATTGTCCTGGTGTTTGTCTGTAAAAAAAACTGCTTTAAAGATGCATGGAAGGAACTAAAATACAATTTAATGTATTGGAGATTAACACAACAAAGTAGGTAAGGTAGGAGCAAAAAACAGGCAGTTCTATAGCTAGGAAGCGATCTCTTCCAGAGTCGGGGAGAGGTAAGCTTATTATTTAACCTCAAATAGTAAAACATCATCATCATCATCATCATCATCATCATCTCAGCCATAGGACGTCCACTGCTGAACATAGGCCTCCCCCAATGCTTTCCATGTTGCCCGGTTGGTAGCGGCCTGCGTCCAGCGCCTTCCTGCTACCTTTATGATGTCGTCGGTCTATCTTGTGGGTGGACGTCCCACGCTGCGTTTTCCGGTACGCAAACATATTATATTTGGATGTAAAGTTTTAAGGTTTCGTGATTTGTGTGCTGTAGAAAACGGGAGGGCACATAACTTTGTTTATTATCGCACCGGTGGTGTACTGATGTGAATCTACCTTAATTAGGTCACAAATGTTTACCTTCCACATATTTCTCGCGGCCTTGGCATAGCGTGGCTTAATCACACGTCATGCGAAACTATTTCTCGAAAGTGAAATCATGTAACAATAATCCCGAATTGTTTGAGCAGTGACCGAGAATGCATTAATCATTTATTGTTTTCAGAAATTTATCGTTTTACTTTGTAATATTGGTTGGTAATCCAAAATTAAGCGGAAAGGTGAAAATGTAACAATGACACATGATATCACCTACTCTGGTAACTACTCTTTATATCACGTGGGTAAGCCACGTGTAAGCGGGAATTCCCAATTTTCTTTCCCACCATTGCTACTCCCGTAGAGTCAGGATATACAGTTTGGCCTCCAATGAAATCCCAGTTATACAGTTTGCTTGGTTTCTACCCTACATAATACTTGGGTGAACCACGTGTAAGCGGGACTTCCCACTTCTTTTTCCCACCACTTCAGCTCCTGTATAGCCAGGATCTACAGTTTGACGTGATAGACAGCAACATTTATCAACACGGAAAGGGGTCGTAACCGTATCAACGAAGCGTTTAGTATTCTTTGTATGAAACTTCATACTGCAACGCACACTTATCCACACCGAAACATAAACGCACCGCCTCGCGGTTTTCAGCACGCAAAATCCGATGACAGCTCTCGAAAAGCGATACGGTTTGATGTGATCCCTTTCCGAGTTGATAAGTCGGCTATGACCTTAACCGTAAACCATAATGGGCGAGCAGGGTAATAAAAGGAATTTTAAGTATAATAAGTTAAAAAAAACCTTAATAACTATGTACGATACATTTCAACTAATCATTACTTTACCCCAAATTTCATTCATAGAGCTGGCACACCTACATAAAAAACATGGTAAGTCTCAAAATAATATTATCTTACTTAGTTTTGAAACCTCATCTTAGGGCTCCTGCACACGACGCCGCCACCGCGCCGCCGCCGTACCGTCGCCGCGCCGCTACACTGTTCATACGCACCGAGTAAAACCGCCGCCGCGCCGCAACCACGCCATCAAAGCATAATTTTGCCCGCGGCGCGGCGCGGTTTTCACGCGGCGCGTATAAACAGTGCTAAGGCGCGGCGACGGCGCGGCGGAGGCGCGGTAGCGGCGTCGTGTGCAGGAGCGCTTTAATAGTCCGTACCCAAAATCAAGTAGTTGACTCGAACTTAAAAGTGACTGATAGAAAATGGTGAAAAGTTAACTAATTGAATAGAGCACTAAAATATAATATTTGAGTCTATTAGTCTAAAACTATTTCATATTTTTTTATCATTGCAGTTTCGAATAGTGATGCCGTAATCGTCACAAGGTGCAGTGTGTGCGTCACAAAACGTATGCGCGGTATAATCAGTAAGTATAGGCATTCCACATGCTCCAATAGTAGGTACAGTTGCGCACAAGAGTGTTATGAAAAAAATATTTTGATTTTATCCAGACTGTTGGTAATAATAGGGGAGACCGAGGCTAGTTGTAACAGAGGTGAGTTGTTGCAAAGCCAATTTCTCTACACCTATGATAATAGTTTACGAGCTGACAGTTTCACGCAAACTGTGGTGTGTCGAAAAAACAAGGAATTCGCGAAGTTGCTAGCTCGATTTAATTTAAACACTTAGATTTAGTTGTTCTCTCACCACCACCTCTGTTACAACTCTTCGGTCTCCCCTACCTACGTCAATAGCTGCTACAGGAAACAGTTATAGTTTTTAATTTGTAAATTTTAATAAATGGAATGGAGGCCGCGTACCGGAAGGCGCAGCGTGGGACGTCCACCTACAAGGTGGACCGACGACATCGTAAAGGTAGCAGGGAAGCGCTGGACGCAGGCCGCTACCAATCGATCAACGTGGAAAGCATTAGGGGAGGCCTATGTTCAGCAGTGGACGTCCTATGGCTGACATGATGATGATGATGATGATGATGAATAAATGGGTATAAACCTATGAAATTTAAAACTATGCCTGTTTCCTGTTCAGCCGTGACGTCACAGGGAAATTTAAAATTATAGTAGAAAAAAACAACTACCTAGGTACTAATAGTGGAGCCTAACAAATACCTAATTTATGTCGGAGCCAGGCCAGATGACAAAATTTCAATTATTTGTCCGTCAGACAGATACTTAGAAAATATTAGACTCATATTTTTTATTTTCTTTCATAATTAAATAATGACAGTGCTACATCGAGTTGAAATGGCGCGATACGTCATGCTTGAGTAGAATTTTTACTCAAAAGTGACGTCACGCGAGATTTCAACTCAATATAACACTGTCATTATTTAATTATGAAAGAAAATAAAAAATATGAGTCTAATATTTTCTAATTATCTGTCTGACGGACTAAATAGAATTTCGATTTCATTACCTAGTCATCATCCCTATTAACTTTCCTCTTTATTATTAGTATGATTAAGTGCTCTGTCGGCGGCTGTCCAAAGCATCCACCTGATAAGACGTGCATTGCGCGCGCAGTGCACGATGGTCGCGCACGCCGTCTCCGCGCTTCTCGCGCTCGCCGCGATCTCGGCGCACGCGCAGGTTTGTGAACAGAATCATTACTGAAAAAGTGATCTAAAAGTGATTTTGTTAAGCTTNGTTTTGATAAAGGTGTTTTTGATAGGAGAAATTAAATTAGAACATTGATCAAAAAATTTTCGCGATTATTTTAAGTATAAAAAATACTGCCCAAAAATAAAAAAGAAATGGAAATAAAAAAACATCGCAACGATTAAAATACGCTCTTAAACAAGTCATGAAAATTGTGTTAAAAATAAAAATAAAATAACATTACAATGATTTAAAAAATATATAAAATTAAGTAACTATAACTATTGTTGCTTTAAATAAATAATAAAAGTTTAACCACCAATAAATTCTGTCGTAAACGACATTGAAAACAATAAAAAAAACATGACATAAGTACACAAATGCATTGAAATTCCTTGAATACATTAAACCTGTTGTTATTTACTTTGTAAATGAAAAGGTGAGTTTTTCACACATTACCTACTTGAAATTCAGTTGCTGAAGAACCTTGAAGGCATGTCAGATGCAAGAGGTAAACCGTTGTTTTATTTGAAATTCAAATTCATTTTATTTCACAAAACTGTAATGATTTTCATAGAGTTCAACACTTGAACTCTGTACAAAACGCGTGAAAACTTTTTTTTTTACATAATAATGTGAAAGTTAACCAAGGTCTAGTTAAGTAGTTATCAGTAGTTATTTTGTTTATCATTTTATTGTGTTGCTGGTCGGCTTACTGTTTGCTTTCAGCATTCCTCTTCGTTAATATCTATACGATTAGATATGATCTAATGAGAAAAACATGTTGTATTTTGTATAAATTACAAGGCATCGCCCGTGGCTTTGCCTTTTATTTATTTTGAGACTCACGTAAAACGTGGTTGTGAAATATTTTTTTACTAAACATTCATTGAATAGGTAGTTACGTAACTTAAAAAATGAAATAATGGAAATTCAAAACATGTCGTCCATCCTATAACTTGGGTGGTATCCAAAACTTTGTTACAAACTAAAAAAGTCTCAAAAAGTTATTTATTACGCTTTTAAAAAGGCGTTTCTGCATTTTAACTTTACATCAGTTTTGTAAAATAGCGTAGACACCTATTCTGCTAAAATAAAAAGCAGCCCAGTTTAAATTACAAACGAATTGAAAGACAAGTAAAATAAGTGGGTTAGGAAAAATATATTTCAAGTTTTCAGTAACTACATACAAGTCACACAATTGCACCTGCAAATGCATTCCATCATCTCCAACAGACGTTCAAGGTCGTCGTGACGTCACATGCAGTGTGACGTCATCGTTGCATAAACTAAATTTTTACGAGCCACGTAAACCACATAATATATTCAAATTGCGTGCACTAAGATTTGTTGGGGCAGTTTAATAGCTCAATATAATTTTGAATGCAATGTAATAACTACCCACATGAAGTTACGGACAAAATTAGTAAAATACTTATTTAAAAAGTTTTCGTCAAAGTATCTAAGTGGAAAACCAGCAGTACCTAAAAATTCGGACTCATAAGAAATTGATCTAAGTTTAACTTTGGTCAATCTGTCTTTTTTGTCCAATCTGTACTTAATTTAATTATTTTCAGGAGTTTTCAGATATGACGCGACCATTAAAATATTATATGTATATGATTTGACCTTGTATTGTCACTACAGTCGATTTCAGTGTGTGCAATATAATTTAATATTCAAGACGAATGTATGCAAACGTATTTTTCTAAGCACAGAAATAATGTTAATAGACAGAAAACAATTTAATAACCCTCCTTCTGTAGCAGTCGGGTAAAAACAACGTATTCTTCTTTAATGAGGGTTTTCGCGAATGAAAGATCCGCTAGATGGCGGGACGTGGATGTGGGGTCTGACTGCTGCGTGATTGGTGGATTTTGACATATCTGTCAATGTCACAGTCAAAAATAACCAATCATGCAGCATTTTGGACCTCGCGTCTACGTATTGCCATCTGGCGGATTTTTCATTCGTGAAAACCCTCATTCTTACAAGCCTATATAAATGTGATGACATCCTGTTTTCTTATTGAATTTTTTATGTTGACTACAGAGTTAAAGACAAACAATGTGCCTTCATGAACTATACCTAGTTTCGCAATATTTTTAGCATCAAAGTAAAGAAATAATGTGAGCATGAAATTAATTCCGCGTGGAAACATTCGCGTTCTTAGCAAATGAGTCAGTGTTTGTATACATTACAATAATGTCTAAGCGACGTCATAAGAATGCATTACATTTTTATCTTGAAAAATGTAGAGTTCCACTGACGCGAGATTGCTATAATCAATCCTAATACAAATCCATTACTTCAATTGCTTCAATGGTCTCAATCTGTTTTCGATCAAATATCCATAATTTTCGATACTTTTACACTTTTATATTGTTTAAACAGTCTTAGAAACAATATGAAAATGTAAAAACCGTATTTTGACCAAAAACAGATCGATTTTTGACAGTTGAAGAACGGATTTAGATTGGGATCGATTGTAGCAATCCAGAGTTAATCGTGCAGTGAGAGCGCTACGTCCAGCAGTTTATTAATTTTTAAAGAAATATCTGAGTAGCACTTGGTTTGTATCTCATCGTTGGAAATTCGGAATGTGATGATCAGACCGATGATATTGCACACTGGTGATAATAATGATAATATAATGCAACTTTCACATGCAAGTGTTTTATCTTAGATAAATTCAATCCTCAAAATTGATAATGAAACTCTAGACTTACCTATTTAGGAAGTTAGGAAGATTTTCTAATCTTATTGTGATAATAATTATATCAAACATGACTTATCACTTGAAATCATAGTCCACCTTGCATTCTAAGTATTTCTAAGGGATTAGATTATATTATAAATAAACAAAATGTAGACTGTGGCACTGAAAACAATCACGAATTTAGAATACCACTTCTCTGAAACTGTGATAGTTTCCTCCTCTAAAACTTGAAAGGCAGATTCCATATAGGGTGTTGACATCCGCTAAAAATGGACTTTACGAAACTCCACCACAAAGGTAGTAAAATGCGAGTCCACGCGTAATCGCGGCCGGCTGTTAGTATTAAAATATACTTTGACTAAATACAATCAATTAANTTACGAGGTTAAGTCAATTAAGCCAAATTTCAAAAATGATATGGTAATTAGGCTGAGAACGCCTAATCGTGAGAATGACCGTTTTATTTGATTATCAACCTTTATAACACCGATTCATCATCTCTGTAAACATTGATTTAGCAACAGAACTAAAGCTTTGCTCTTGTTTGCTATCTAATACAAACACGGTGGCATTGTGTATAGAGCGGTAAGGTGTAAAGATTAATATATGCGGTGTTAGGTAACATAACCGGCAGACAGTGGTGACTGAGTTTGTTGCGGCGCTTCTTCTCAGCACTTGCCAAATGTTGGTCTTGGTAAAAAGATTATGAGACATGTAGAGGCTCCTTAAGAGCAAAATGACGATTTGTAAGAACTATAAATTAGTCTAATCTAAACAAATTATAAAGAAATTTTGACTCTGACTTTGACTTTAACTAACTAGGGAATTGCTTGTAGACATCTATTGTAGCGCGACCGTAACGCGACGGCAACATTACTGGGTAACCCAGCAAAAGGACAATGACCAAAAATGTATGGAGTGTGATCCAAATGTCCACCTTTAACGAGACCTATGTAGTAAAATAGTCTACTAAATACTGATTCATTTTAACCAAACCACAATAAAAAATATGCTGTCAGTTAAAAGTTATGACTGAATGAAAAGTCATGTTTTTTACCTTTTCATCCGAAAAATGTTCTTGATATCATTCTATCCATTGCACATTTTGGATTAATCTATGCATGTTATGTCATGTCACTTAGTGTTCCGTGTTAGATTCTCGCTAAAAGAAAAAAAATAAGCTTAGAAGAAAGACAACAATATCGGAATTATGGTCGGGTGGTCGCTGCTCCGCCCCTATTGGTTGTAGGGTGATGTTATATAACCTAAAACCATCTTTGATAAATGGGCTATCCATAACAAAAATAATTTTTCAAATCGGACCAGTAGTTCCTGAGATTAGCGCGTAAGCTACTACAATTTTTCATACGGTCATAACTTTTTACTGACAGCTTATTTTTTTAGTCCCATACTGAAAGTTAATCTCTGTTTAACGGACTATAAGCCAATATAGGTCTCATTAGTGGTGGACATTTGGACCACTTTTGGTCATTGTCCTTTCTTGCGTTCTTTGCCATTTTGGGTTAAGTTAGGAAAGAGATACCTCATGTCCAGGCCGCCGTTTACAGATGGATTGCGGCCCAGAAAGAGCGGTGCGAACACCCAGCCTTCGAGGAGAGGGAGGCGGTTCGGCGCGAACCTCGTGAAACTGTGGTCCAGCAGTGGGCAGACCACCTCGCCGTTGCCGAGTCGGGCCGCCGAACCTTGGATGCGCTCGCGCCGACCATAGAAAGGTGGCTCGAGCGCCCGCACGGGTACCTTTCCTTCCATTTGGTGCAGGTGTTGACCGGGCACGGATGCTTTGGCTCATATCTGCACCGCATTGGGAGGGAAGAGACGCCGTCCTGCCACGCGTGTCGTGGCGGTGCGGAGGACACGGCGCACCATACCCTTGCGGTATGTGCGGCGTGGGCTCCGCAGCGCAATACGCTTATCGCGGCGGTAGGCCGGGACCTTGTGCTGCCCAGTATAGTCAAAGCTATGCTGGACAGCAACGAGGCCTGGGTGGCAATGGCATCCTTCTGTGAAGACGTGATGTGTCAGAAGGAAGCCGCGGAGCGAGAGCGCGAGGATGATCCAAACGCGCCCTCGCTCCGGCGACGGCGGAGGGGTCAGAGGAGGCGACAATATGATCGCCTCCAGTTTCCTCTCCTCGGTGATGGCCAGCGGGCCGGGGGCGTGGGGGCGCCCCCGCCTGCATTGCACAGGCCACCACCACCGTCGGACGGGAACAGCTGTGTGCTTCCAGCTGTTCCTGTCGCCCCCCGTCCTGGGGGGCTTGTAGGGCCCGCCGTGTAGGCGGGCAATCGCCGGGAGGGGCTGTGGTAGAGAAGGCTTTGTCCGGAAACCCACAGTTTCCTCCCACTTATGGCGAGTGACGGAGCACCGGGGTCTTTTTAGTGGGTATGCCTCGTCCTTCTGACTTGGTGAGCCCCACATAACCTACCCTGTCCCCGCAGGGTAGGTATGCGATTCAACGCATTTTTTCCCCGCAAAAAAAAAAGGTTAAATGCATGGAAGCTGGGAAACATTGAATTTTCGGATAGATTCCAGTTCCAGTTTATTATGTAACCTATTTATTGGTACCATTTGATAGACCTCGCTTTCAGGACCAGTATTGAACAGTTTTTCGATATCTTGTATCGGAATTGAGATCACTTATCGTTTCCACCCCGTATAACACAAAAACCTCAATAATTTAACTAATATAAATTAAGACCCTTATCATGATTTAGCGATAATAATAATCTTTCTATCCGGTCCTGGTAAACAACGTGCTGAAAACAATGACCTCCCCTCAGGCATTATTACGACGATTGCAAATAACAATAATCTTATCCCTAGAAGAAATTGGGTGGACAATCATAAACACAAATTTCGCAAATCAGTCCGAGTAGAGTCAATGCACTAATTTAAGGAATTTGTGAAGTTGTTGTTATTATTTAAACAAGATTAGTATACCGTTTGAATGGGGATAGACTAGAGAAGTTTTGATAAAATCCGAAGACCGCTATCTCTTTTAAAAAAAAAATTATAGCCATGTAAACTTAAATGTTCAGTCCATTTTTAACTTTTCGGAAAACTTTAAAGCTGAATTAAAAAAAAACTAGATGATATTTGCCAGTAAATTTAGATTTGATGCAACCCTACATCAATGCATGTCAAAACAAAATATTTACTTTGAGGCTACGCCTAGTAGTTTTTTTTTAAATCGAAATTAAATGATGCGATATGGGTATTTTGGTGAAATTATTAAAAAAGTTAATATAAAAGTAGCCGCCTGGCGTGGAACGTGTTATGGGGGATGAAAATATAGGAAATGACCCATTCTATCCGCCAAATCATTTTGGCACACGATGCGCCAAACACCCTGTATAACTCACAAAAATATTACTCATTCAATAATAGTGTACGTACAGTTTACTTTTTTAAATGAAATTAATTCTTACCAACTAGCCCGCCTTTCCGATGTTTGTGTGTTTATTTCTTTTTCTGTGAAATTAAAAATAAATATTAGGTGTGATTCTGGAGCTCAAATACAAGTTTTTGTTTAATCTATAGAGAAGTAGATTAAAAAGTATAAAACGCTTTTAATATCATTTTTGTAGTAAGTACTGGACACTACTGGGCAATGTGGTTTCGACAGTGGAAAAAGTACCAATCCTACTTTTCGCGTGGATGTCGTAATCGACTAAGGGGCAAATATGCGAGCATCAGGCCTCCCCAACCCGTCTGGCCAGGGTGGGGAGTATAGGACAAGTCCTCCATTTGCCTCTAGTACAGATCAGGCTAAACACTGTGGAGCCTTCTCTAGTTGTAATAAGGTTGAGTTTGCAAAAAAAAATCGTATCTATCGCTTTATTGACATTCTTAAATTCCCCATTTTATCAAGGAGAAAGAAAGGAAAAAAAAGAAACCAAAAAACCTTTTTCGGTCAAATTAAGAGAACCCACCAACATTTTTGTCAGATTAAAAAAATATGCTTTCAGGATACCGAGATAAACCTCCGCTATGAAAATCTGACGCGATCGAGTATTTTTTTTTTCATTTTTGACTTCTTTATATGCCTACCCCCACCACGCAAACCGGCAGATTAGTATACCGTTGTTATCAGAGGCATTCGGGGCATACGTAGTATGAATATCTGACGCGCTCGAGAATGCCCAAGTAACTGTTTTTTTTAACATTTTTGAAAAACCGTACACGCCAAACCCACCGCTAAAATGGTTTTTGCCATACGAGCTTTTCTTTTCCAAATTATTTTATCTTTCGATTTTGATAGGTCTCGACGGCGCCGTTGAATTACGCCATTTAGCTACCTCGCCTCCCTAACTATACAGAGGATCGTGCATATACAATGGAGACTAAATCCATTGACCTGATGATGGACAGAGTTACCTAGACTAGGGTAGAGGCGCGGCGTGGGCTCCTCTATCGGCTTGTCTTTCTCGCTCCACGACACTTTAGACCCGCTCAGCCAACTGCCATTCTTGTCGGCGCTCGTGTCCGCGCCTGGAAGGACGAATGTTACATGAAAATGCACAGTATACATACGTATTATAACTTATGTAAAGTCCGGTCGCCGAGCAGATAGAATTTCGTCCGATGACCCCAAGCTACCCATCCTTATCTCTCGTGCGTAATTATATTGCTGTCGCGCTCGCACACTTATTCATTGCACCATGTAGTACATTGGATGTTAAATTGTAGGTGTTTTAGAGCTAAACATGTATGCAACGACCCAAAGTGGTTGCTAGCATGTACCTTAATTTTAAGTTTCCGATCAGAGTTGAGTTAGAGAAGTTAGCAATCCCGTCAGTAATAATAATTATGTTAGTGACCATGAAAGTTTAAAACAATAGATCCAAAGTGAGTTGGCCTCCGACAGTAAGAATCTCCACTCTGGTATATTTTGCGCGACGTCTCGCCAACCATCGACGTGGATAATAACTTTAACTCGTGCATAAAATTAAACAACACTCACTGTTGTCGTTGAAGTTGACGGCGCGTTTCGCCCTCTCCACTTGTTCGTGTCGCGGCGCCTCGGGCAAGTCTTTGGGCTCGCTGTGGGAGCCGTTCACTTGTGGCGCCGGCGGCGGCTCCTCAGTAGACCTATAGTTAAAAAAAGTAAGTATTTCAACATCATGAAGTCATAAAATCTCTACCGCAAAAAAACCCGAAAATTTACAGCAAGTAGAAGGGACAATGGACTGGCTATATTTTTCGCAGTAGCGAGAATGACTAAATAATAAATAAAAATAAAAATTCATTTACTTCCAAAAATACTTGTATACAGAGTTATTACCGAGTCTTCCCGGTAAGTAGTCAGAGACACTTGTATTGGGAATAACTCGCTGCTTCCCATTAGGATATCTCTAATTAATTCTAAAAGTATTAGTTCACTAAGTAAGCATTTACTTTGGTATGTAAGAAAATTACAGTACTAAAGGTGAAGTGAACTGGTTCTCGAATCTTAAGAAGAAAGCTATTCTATATTTGGATGTGAATTTAGAAGTTGAATGCAGTGACCACACATCCCACACCGCACACTTTAGAACGCCAAACACGTGAGTCGCTTTTCGGTAGCTCGACGCGATAGCAGTCGATAAAACCGTTACGTCCGAACACAAGAAGTCGCGATGCTGCATCGATACAGTCGCAAAATCGCCGATGCTAAAAGTAGCATGTCTGCTGTAACCCTTCATCATCATTTCAGCCACAGGACGTCCCCTGCTGCATATGATTGCCACATCGCCCGGTTGGTAGCGGCCTGCATCCAGCGCCTTCGCTACCTTTATGAGGTCGGCGGTCCACCTAAAAGCCTTAGTAGGCTGAAATACCTGTTGTTCCGGTCCCTCTGTATAGCTGTGGACTCTGGGAGATTTTTACCCATCAGCAGACTGTCTTAAAAGAAAATGGACACCCTATAAATAGGTCCATCGCTTAACTCAGAGCCTGAGGTATGGGAGCGGCACGGGAGGGATGACATTGACATATATGTAATGAGCATGCAAATCTGAAGTCTCGCTGACGTATAACGTCTCAAAAAACATGCTCCCTGTGATGTACTACTACACAAATAAAGAGTGTGCGCTATGGCAACACTGACTAGTACGGCGCGGTGGGGGGTCAGTCGTAGTCGGGCCGCCACACGGGACGGACGTCGACGTATACCAGTGTTTTATTTAAGACATCAGAAAGAAAGAAAGAAAGATACATTTATTACAATGGACATCACACAAATACAGGCAATTACATAGACATGACAGTGGCACATAATAATAAAAGAAGAAAAAATAAAAACAAGAGTAAACTGAGCAGTGCCACCCATTCACCAACAAGATGCCCACTGCAACGGGACCCCACTCAGCATATGCCGTGGCCCACGGTGACGAAGGCCACGGCGCTGGTTTTCAGTGTGCCCCATGCCGAGTGAGGGTCAAGGACCATTGGTAAAATAAAAAATAAAATAACTGCATAAAATTGTCTAGATACATCACACTCCCGTTTGACTTACTAAGCTAAACGCTAGACCTTTACTATGTCAATCCTCTCACCTGTTGGTCTGGTCCCTAGTCTGGCTGTGGTCCGCCAGACTATGTTCTCTGCTCTGGTAGTCCCCATGCGAGTTGCTCGGTCGTAATACCAGTCGCTTTCTGCTCGGCTTCAAACTGAGCTTGTCTTCTAGACATCATCATCATTTCAGCCACAGGCCGTCCACTGCTGAACATGGGCCTCCCCCAATGACTTCCACATCGCCCGGTTGGTAGCGGCCTGCATCCAGCGCCTTCCTGCTGCCTTTATGAGGTCGTCGGTCCACCTAAAAGCTGAAATACCTGTTGGTCTGGTCCCTAGTCTGGCTGTGGTCCGCCAGACTATGGTCTCTGCTCTGGTAGTCCCCGTGGGAGTTGCTCGGTCGTAGTACAAGTCGCTTTCTGCTCGGCTTCAAACTGAGTTTGTCTTCTAGACTCGCGTCCGATTCTTCTAGCCCGTCGAATAGGGACTTCTGTAGGGAAATGTTTATCGTTTAGTATACTCGTACATATAAATCTACACTAATATTATAAAGAGGAAAGATTTGTACCTATTTTTGTATGTTTGTATGTAATGAATAGGCTCAAAAAGTACTGGGCCGATTTAAAAAATTCTTTCACCATTCGAAAGCTACATTATCCACGAGTAACTGACGGCTAAATTTTATTTTGGAAAAACATAGGGTTCAGGCGTTCAGGGGTCCACGCGCGCGAAGCCGCGGGCGGAAAGCTAGTCGTTTATAAAATACATAGGAATGGATGGATTGAATGGTCCTATGCTTACAATGGCATGGGTGAATTGAGTAGTTTGTTGATTACAAAAGGATGGATGCAGTGTAAAGCTGTTTAATAACATTTGCATGCAATATCTAGGATAATGAACTTTTTCTTGTATTCTATAAAATATGTACCCTACTTTATGGCAAATTAAATGTTTGAGTTTGAATCTATCTATACTAATATTATAAAGAAAAAATATTTGTATTTTTGTGACTAATTAACTCAAAAAGTACTGGACCAATTTGAAAAATTCTTTCACCATTGAAATTCTAATTTTTTGCTGATGAGCATGGACGGACATATTGTTTTTTATTTTTAATTTTTTTGTTAAACGCCTGTATCTACCCGTGCGAAGCCGGGGCGGGCCGGTAGTCTTGCTAATGTTACTTAATATTAATTATAAATGCGAAAGTTTGGATGTCTCGATGTTTGTTACTCTTTCACGGAAAAGCTACTGAACGGATTTTGATGAAACTTTACAGTATTATTGTTTATAACACAGATTAACACATTATAGGCTATAATTTATGACGATATGTGGCAAATTTTCAATAAATAAATAAGACGTGTCTAAAAAGCGCCATCTATCGTCAATGGTTAAAATCTACAGCGCTGGACAAACTACTGTTTTTGACGTTCGTAAATATTCATGCGGGGGAAGCCGTGAAACGCCATCTATCAACATGATATCTAACGGGGGTAAAACGAGGTCCACGCGTACGAAGTAGCAGGCGGGCGCTAGTCTGTAATAAATGTAAGGTTACCTTGTCGGTAGGCAGGGCGGCTCGTGGATGGAGTTTGAGACGAGCGCCGGGCGAAGTGACTTTGTACCCGCTGTTGTCTAGCACAGCTTTAACTGCCGCTGGGTTTGTGGGCTTTAGCACGTCCTCTGCTGTTGTTGCTGAAACAAAAAGTTTTTTTTTTTTTTCTCTTTATTTGGGACAACAAACAGTTACATTGAGGGCTTATGTACTAAATCTTAATAATTTGAAAATTTTGTAAAGGTTGCTTTAAATTACTTAAATACAATCCAATTTTATTTGTTACTACAAAAACTTTAAGGGTTACTTGTGCATATTCAATAAAACAAAAAATACAGAGAAAGGACACCTAAGCTCAAAAATAAAGGGTCGTGACGTCACTACGGCTCCAAAAGTGTAGCACGGCATGATGTAACGCGGAACTCAACGCACCATAGCTTCGTAATTACTCATTTGATTGACAAATAAAAATGTAGGTTTGTGTCCAATGTTTTCAATGTTTTTTGATAATATAATTTCTGGACTAAGGCTGGGTTGCACCATCTTACTTTAACTTTGAGAAACGTCAAAAATCTGTCAAACTCCGTACAAAAAACATCGGCTATCGTTATAGTTACGGTCAAGGTTGGGCGGTGCAACTCAGCCTAAATGTTTTAAACTTAAAGAAACGAAACTATTGTATTTGAACGACATCTATGTAACAGGCTTAAAAGCAATAGACAATTTGACACCATTCCCCAAAAATTCTAAATCAAAACTTTTCTAAAAAAAAGCCACTTCATTATGGTCTTAAAAACTTAATTAATTTTAAATTACCTGTAAATTACGATTTTTGTCCGCCACTTGCTTGTAGTGCCATCAGTGGCGGATTAAGAGTATCCGAGGCCTTAAGCACAGAGCCTGTGTAGGCCCTCTATTGCTTTAAATGGAAATGGAAGGAATGGAATGGAAGGTATAAAGTATAAAATGAAAGTTCATCAAAATATTGCATGTTGTGTCAGCCTATAATTGCATTGTAACTTTGTTCATAATGGTAATTTTTAAGTGTACATGTTGTAATGTAACAATGTCGGTAGACCTAATAAATAAATAAATAAATAAAATATGTAGAAAGTGTAGTAGGTAAAATTTAAAACATAAAACATTAATTTTCCTTGCCTTAATCAGAGAAAACTCCGAGATTACATCGTCGAAATTTATCCGACGAAGTATGTCTGCCTCAATACACATTAATGCTAAAGAATTATGCTTGTCTGGACGGATTTTTGTTCTTTGCGGGTTTTTTAACCTTTTTAGTTGTGAGAAGGATCGTTCAGCAGAGCAATTAGTAATCATTAAGCTGTGAAAGATTCTAAACGCAACCACAATGATAGTCTTACACAAGCACACTTCTTTTGTTTCTCTTCTTTTTTCACATCGCATGTTTATTTTAATATATATGTTACGGTCAGTGATAAATGTGAAAATTATGAATAATCGCCGGTTATTATGAATAATTACCGCATGATTTGGTAAATGTGATTAATATGAGATCATTTATGTGTGTATAAAACTAAATAGGCGGCTTAGGGGTGGCCCAAGGGCCACCCCCGCCGCACCTTAACCTATTTTTCACATTAAATCAAAACTTTATGTTATGGGCATCATGGAAAAGTAATATTATGCAAGAAACATTCCAAACTCATTATGCCAAATTATATTAATAATATGATATCAAAACGTTCAAAAATTTTGGCTGTACAAGAGCACGTACACAAGATGTTGTTCTCTTTTATGTTATTTGTTAGTACTAAGGTTGAATGATTAAATAATCGCTGTTAAATGTTATTAATTTATCACTTTTACTGCGACTGTCGGTAATTACATGATTTGGTAAATGTGATTAATATGAGGTCATTTATGTGTGTATAAAACTAAATAGGCGGCTTAGGGATGGCCCAAGGGCCTCCCCCGCCGCACTTTAACCTATTTTTCACTTTTAATCAAAACATTATGTTATGGGCATCCATGGAAAAGTAATATTATGCAAGAAACATTCCAAACTCATTATGCCAAATTATATAAATATATGATATCAAAACGTTCAAAAGTTTGGCTGTACACGAGCACGTACACAAGATGTTGTTCTCTTTTATGAAATGTGTTAGTACTAAGGTTGAATTATTAAATAATCACTGTTAAAAATGTGATTAATTTATCACTTTTACCGCGAGTGTCGGTAATTATTCATAATAACCGGTTATTATTAATAATTTTCAATTTATCACATTAACCGTAACATATACACAATTATTATTATTTTAATACGGGTTTTATTTTATTATGTAGCATCTTTAATTTACTATAATTATGTTTATTCAACAAATGTTTGCACATTATTATTATTGTTATACAGTGTGAGTCACGTTAAAGTGTAGATACATATGAAAATAGATAAAACTAGACCTATTTTTATCGACAAAAAAGAGGTCAAAATTTTTTTGAGATTTTTTTTTTATTTTTTATCGATTTTTTTTTCTTCCAATCACTTATTGTAAAGAAAACGTAATAACTTTTAAACTAAGAGGTATATCCTGATAAAATAAAAACAGTAATAATGCTAAATAACAGGCAATACTGAAAAAATACATAAAATACCCAGAAAATGCCAACAAATAATAAAAAATGAGACTTTTTGAAAAAAATCTGCTTAACAATTCGTATTTTTTTGGTTATTTGATAAATGTCTCAAAAAAATGCCCCTATAATAGGTGGTTTTTATTACTTTGTATTATTCTCTATCGTATTATCTTTGTAAAACGAAAAATCGCATGTCTCTATCCCTATCACAACATTTGCTATGATCGTTTGAACAAAGGCCTGCCACAACATTATTCTCCGCTACAGGTAGTGTTAATTGTGAAAAATATAAAACGTTAAAATAGCGGTATCGTTATAGCCAATGAGCTGCTGTCATAGTGACATTGACGTATTGTCAATGTCACACGAGAATCTAACGTCAGAATAGAGGGACGCGCGGAGACGACTCCGCGCGCTTTTGTGCTAAGTGATGAATTGTATCTAAAATAAGGCAATATAATGTGAAAGATAAGTATCCAGTGTTTTATTTATGAGAATAGATCGACCGGCCTCTAATAGTTCAGAAGTGAGATCTGAAACCTATGATGTAACGTGATTTCAAAGTGTTCCAGGTGACCAATGTTTCGTGTTATTTGTCACGAATATTAACACAAAACGCCCACGATTCTATGATTATAATGGAATATGATGAAGAAAGAATGTCAAGGAAACGCTGACAACTGTGTGAGATGCAGAAAAGTATTTAAGTACGAGAAATGATGGACGCAAATTATGAAGATACTCCCTCCGTAACTTGGCTTGTGGTCACGTAAGTGGTGAACAATTCGACTAACGATGGCCCCAGAGCAGGTACGATTTATTATTATTATCGATTATTCCAACATAGATGTACCGTGTGACGATGATATAGATGTATTGTGTGATGATTTCTCGTTTCAGCAGAACCAAAGGTGGTCAGCGTGTGGTGCGAATGGTGGTGGAGATGGCAGAGTGGATCTAGCCAGGTGCTCAGCTGGATCCCAATACGAGGCGTCAAGTGTGCCATGAGCAGACCTTCGAGGGCGAAGGAATTGCAGGAAGGCCGAACTGTTAATTGTGAAAAATATAAAACGTTAAAATAGCGGTATCGTTATAGCCAATGAGCTGCTGTCATAGTGACATTGACGTATTGTCAATGTCACACGAGAATCTAACGTCAGAATAGAGGGACGCGCGGAGACGACTCCGCGCGCTTTTGTGCTAAGTGATGAATTGTATCTAAAATAAGGCAATATAATGTGAAAGATAAGTATCCAGTGTTTTATTTATGAGAATAGATCGACCGGCCTCTAATAGTAGAGACAATTTTAATTTTAACTAAAATGCTTATTTTACTTCGAAATCTTTTGTTTTTATTTAAAATCTAACTTGTCTTTATCAAAATTACAAATCTAGAGCCATTTTCAGTTTCGTTGTTAACGAAGCGTTGAATGGCGCGCCCGGAGAGGCTTACTTCAAACAATCATTGCAAACGTTGTGATAGGGATAGACATGCGATTTTTGGTGTTACGAAGGTAATACGATAGAGAATAATACAAAGTAATAAAAATCACCGGTTATAGGGGCATTTTTTGGAGAAATTTATCAAATAACCAAAAAAACACGAATTTTTTAGCAGTTTTTTTTTTCAAAAAGTATTATTTTTTACCTCCACCATAGTGGAGGAGGCTCATAGTCCAGCAGTGGACTGTAAAGGGCTGTTGATGATGATGATGATGTATTTTTTTATTATCGCCTGTTATTTAACATTATTACTGTTTTTATTTTATCAGGATATATCGCTTAGTTTAAAAGTTATTACGTTTTCTTTACAATAAGTAATTGGAAGAAAAAAAATTCGATAAAAAATTTAAAAAAAATTTCAAATAAATTTTGACCTCTTTTTTGTCGATAAAAATAGGTCTAGTTTCATCTATTTTCATATGTACACTTTAACGTGACTCACACTGTATATTTATATTTAAACGGCCTTGTTGATATGCAGTTTAGGTTAGTGTCCGTGACTTCCACTCGGCATGGGGCCCACTGAAAACCAGCGTCGTGGCCTTCCCCACCGTGGGCCACGGCCTATGCTGAGTGGAATCCAATTGCGATGGGCATCGCTGTTGCGACAGGATAGCACTGCTCACTGCTCAGTTCACTTTTTATTTCCTTGTAATATTTATGTGCCATTTCTGTCTTTTTTTCTGTGTACATTCTTTGTCATGTATTAGTGATGTTCATCGTAATAAATTTTTCTTTCTTTCTTACTTTCTTTATTTAAACGCCACTTGTATATTTGGGAAAACGCACTTTACTTTATTTACACTAATATTATAAAGATGAAAACTTTGTTTGTTTGGTTGTAATGAATAGGCTCAAAAACTACTGGACCGTTTTTAAAAAATCTTTCACCATTTGAAAGCTAGGTACATTACTCACGAGTAACATAGGCTAAATCTCGATAAAATGTAGGTATGAAATGAAACGCCTCAAATTCCATCCTCTGCTGGCGCGCCAGCAGAGGATGGAGGCCCCTGGAGAACAGGGGCCCCAAGCACGTGCTTGTAGTGCTTATACGTTAATCCGCCACTGAGTGCCATACAAAATCTATGGGAGAGTTTCGTTTTGACAGTTTTAAAAAGTACGTCAATGAGGGTTTTCGCGAATGAAAAATCCGCCAGATGGCAATACGTAGACGCGAGGTCCAAATGCTGCATGATTGGTTATTTTTGACATGACTGTTGAAGCCAAACTAAAACCCACGTAAAACGGAACGCAGTGACGTCACTCAGCGGCGCTCTTATTGGCTACTTTAAAAAACGTATCGCTGTCAAAATTTGAATTTCATGCATATCATTACTATTTGGTCTACGCATTACAACCTTTGAACCTGTAACTGTCTTTTTTCTGCTCATCATCTACTGCAACTGAAATCTTCAATTCTCATACGAAACAATGACATTGACAGATATGTCAAAATCCACCAATCACGCAGCAGTCAGACCCCACATCCTCGTCCCGCCATCTAGCGGATCTTTCATTCGCGAAAGCCCTCATTGATTGGAGGTGTCATCGTGTCTGAACTCACAGCTCTCGGGCAGTAAATGCTTGAACAGCGGCTCGTCGCCGTAGGGCCGGGCCGCTAACGACAATATCTGCGCGTGCACGTCGTTCGTCGCTGATGCTCCGGATAGGCTGTTACTGAAAACAATACGACACAGGTTAGCATAAATTATCCAATTTGTACTACTGCACACTCTTATTTTATTAAATACATGATTCCAAATCTAAAATAACACATCCACTCTTTGACAATCAAGCATTTGAAATACTGGATGCGTTCTTGATTGAACGCAACCCGCACCTGTCAGTTTATGTTCTTTGTTCGTGCCCGCACTGTCAAATATGTATAGAGTAGAAATTATCTGCATTGGAGACTATAGTTCCAAAATACTGAACTGTCCTTTCCATGACATTGACAGCGGGGCGCCACCGTCAATACCGGATCGCTGGTTCCGATTTTTGTCATGTTGGAAACCATATAGTTGAACGATGGTAGCGCCCCCTGTCATTGAGTTTGGTGGGACAGTTCAGCGTGGGTCATCCTTAATAATGTTCATATACATGATGCGGGCTGAGTTCACTTTGACCTGGCCGTAGACCTCAGAACGCATAGTGTGGCAAATTTTTAGAGGTAAAAAACTAAGGTAGGTTGTGTAGGTAAAATAAGGAGACGTTAAATATGGGGGGTGGGGTGCACCAATTAGTCAATATTTGATATTATAGTTTTAAAAAAATTTCTCTAAGCCTTATTTTAGTCAATATCTTTTTTTGTCTTTACAAAAATGAAAGAAACAATAAAATCAAGCACATACCCCGTGTGTGTAGAAAGACAATAATTTACAAATATTACTCGTATATGAATATGTAGGAAAAAAGCACTTACTTGTTGAGACTGCTGTTGTTAGCGTTGAGTCCCAGCCCGCCTAGAGACGAATTGTTGCCGAACATGTTGCCGCCCAATCCGCTGTCCAGACCTGTTCAAAGAAAACACAGCTGTAGCACATTTTCTATTTTATTGTGAGTATCTTAACCTTAACTGATGCTCGTATTCACAAACATTACTATGAGGTCTCACAGCGCATGGACGCATAGGGTGACACACGAACCAATCACAGAACTCTATTTAACACTGTGCGTTCGATTTGCTGCTTCACTTAAGCAAGCATCGTTTGTGAATACGGGCGTTAGACCTATACCTAGCTCTAAACTACACTAGAGAACTACAAAAGTTATGACGTTGTTGTGAAAAACCAAGCTAAAGGCAAAATTTTGCCTTCACTTGGAATCGAACCCTGTAACATTGCGAAATGAATAAATGAATATGAATATGAACCCTGGACCTCTGATTAAGACACTTACCAGTTCTAAAGGTAGTGTTCTGCTGTGNCACTTACCAGTTCTAAACGTAGTGTTCTGCTGTGATAACATAGCTACCTCAAAAGTTTTGACATGTGGACAAACTAAGCTACGGGAAAAAACTTGCCTCCACTGGGAATCGAACCCGGGAGCTCTGAGACACTTACCGGTTCTAAACGTAGTGTTCTGCTGTGGTAACATAGCTACCTCAAAAGTTTTGACATGTGGACAAACTAAGCTACGGGAAAAAAACATGCCTCCACTGGGAATCGAACCCGGGAGCTCTGAGACACTTACCGGTTCTAAACGTAGTGTTCTGCTGTGGGAACATAGAGCCGCCGCCGAGCCCAAACGTGGGCGCGCCCGGCTTGTTCTGTTGCCCAAACGTGTTTTGCGTGTTGGCGCCTAGCGTGCCAAGCCCGCCTGTGCCTGGAACAATACATACATTGTAAGTTAACCAAAAGGATACTAAGTCAGTGTCTGAGGAATAGATGACCCAAGCTGAACTGTCCCGCCAAACTCAATGACAGGGGGGCGCTACCATCGTTCAACTATATGGTTTCCAACATGGCAAAAATCTGAACCAGCGATCCGGTATTGACGGTGGCGCCCCACTGTCAATGTCAGGGATAGGACAGTTCAGTATTTTGGAACTATACCTTAGCTACTCACTGATTTAAACGTCAGACCAATAATATTACTGTCATTCTTTTCTTCGGCGCCATATTCACGCCATACTTGAGACACCATATTGGCACAATATGTAAATTAGATTGTCACGAATCCCACAACACAATTTGTGCACAATTTGTCACACCATATTGGCACTATATTGGCGCAATATTTACACTTTAATGACGCGATACTCACCGAGCGTCGGCTGCATATTGAAACGGCGGCCGGCTTGCCGAAACTGGAGTTGATGCCGAATAACCCTTCACACTATCATCATCATTTCAGCCACTGCTGAACATAGGCCTCCCCCAATGATTCCAACATCGCCCGGTTGGTAGCGGCCTGCATCCAGCTCCTTCCTGCTACCTTTATAAGGTCGTCGGTCCAGCTAGTAGGTGGACGTCCGCGGCGTTTTCCTTTACATGGTTGTTTTTGTTACGAAAATATTTTAATTACTTTAGGAGTGTCAAGTATTTTAGGTTTGTCTTACTTGAATAGATACCTACCTGATTTCTGAAATTATGTCTGATTTGTCCAACATGTGTTTTATGATGGTCACCCTATTGCAACAATCAATAGTCGAAATTTTATCAATTGAACGAGTTGCCAATTTGCCTTCGGCATTTCATAGAACAGCGAGCGTTTGTAAATTGACGCCGCCGTTTGTAAAATGCGGAATCATACAATTTGCCTGCGACAGGGCTATGTCAGCGACTTTAGTTCGTTTACGCAATATCCACACCATATTCACACAATACTCACCGAGGAGGCCTTTGTCCAGCAGTGGACGTCATTTGGCTGAAACGAACGAACGAACTCACCGAGCGTCGGCTGCGTGTTGAAACTGAACGCCGGTTGCGCGGCGGCGGGCTTGCCGAAGCTGGAGTTGGCGCCGAAAAGCCCGCCGGTCGGCGCCGCCGCCGCGCCGAAACCGCCGCCGGGGAGGGTTGAGCCGAACGCTGCGAAAAACATTATTTATTAATTATTTATAAAGGTAGTCAGCGTCAAATATAGTAGCCAATAAGACCGCAACACGTCTTTGGTACAATAAAATTGAACTATGGCTGTGTTCTCAACTTTTCGGTCACTTTGGGTGTCATGAACTTTTTGACACTGACTGTACACCTACAGCAAAACACAAGACATTCACAGTATACACTAATAGAGTTTCAGTTTAAGTATTTTCCATTTATAAGTATTAATATCATTTAATCGTTAAAATAAGCACTGTATCTCTAGCATGAACAACTTTCGTTTTCGAATCGTTTGCGTATTCGACAAAATTCGATACTTAACCTTAACCGAATTTTATCGAAAAGTTTTGGATTCTCAAAATATGTTTCGTGCAACCATTTCTCATACTAAGTTCACTTTACAACACGTTCACAAGGGCGCTGTTGTAGTTTTCGTACTAAATCTTATGATGGCGATTCGAATACGCAGACGATTCGAACTCGAAAGTTTTTCGTGCTAGCCGTACTGAAGGCAAACTAGAAACAAATAAAATGCAAGCGTTAAACATTGTATGAGATTAGTAGAATAAGACATCACGAGACGCTGCTTAGTTGCATTATGTATAATGATGTCATAAAATTACAAATAGATTTCTGAAAAAGGAAAGCAAATAATACCTTCTAATTTATGTGTGAAAGTTTCAGAAAGTTTTTCCACGCAAAAATAACTTAACGGATTTAAATGATACTTCACAGAATAAAATTATTTTTTTTATACATGAGAACGACGTACAAGATTCGCGAAAGTAGTTAAATTATCAAAATTAACTCCACTCACCTGGAGCGGCGGCGCCGAACGCCGGTGCTGTGGTCGCCGGTTTATTCTGGAACAGGCCGCCGCCGGAACCGAACGCGCCGAAGCCAGACGTCGCCGGCGCGCCGAAACCAGTCGTTGCCGGTTTCGCGCCGAATAGCCCGCCGGACTGGAGTATAAGTTACAATGGTTATATCATTGCTTATAAACGAAACCAAATATCAAAATCAACCCATTGTGAAATATTAAATTGTGGCAACATTTTCTTCTTACAAGTGATTTCGGATACTGTTGACTTTATTTCTAAGCAATATAAGGTTAGGTTAATTGGAGGAAAATGCCGAAACGCATTAAGTCCGCCTTATGTACACCGTTATATGTGCATGAGAGTTTAAAATAAATAAATATATCCAACAGACTTAGACACGATATGTAATTAAATTAGTTAACCACATAGGTATTAAAAGATACCATTTTAAAACACATAATGGGATGTTTATTAATGCTCTAAAAACAAAAGTTACTGATAAAAGAGCGCAAGTACGAATAGTGGACACGTTTACAATTTCAACTCACTCAAATCAAACTCTTTTCGCTAAAAATAAATAATGATCTGTATAAAAATTTACATGCAACAAAATTAAAGTACCTGATTCTGTGTGTTGGTGCCGAAGCCGAAGGCCGAAGAGGTGTTGGTGCCGAAAGTCGGCGCCTGCGTCGTCGTCGCGCCGAAAAGGCCTGTGCCTGATAACAATACATTAAATTGTGGTGAGCTCACTCGTAACGTAACACAAGCATATTTAGCTTAGTAGGTACGCGGGGCTAACGGGACTATCAGTGATTTGTGCAATACAAACTAAAGCCCAGTCCGTGAGCACGTAGAATTTTGTCCAATGACCCCAAGCTACCCATCCTTATCGCTCGCGCGTAATTATGTTGCTGTCGCTCTCGCACCGCCCGCCCGTCGCACAGTCGCGACAGCAATATAATTACGCGCGAGCGATAAGGATGGATAGCTTGGGGTCATTGGACAAAATTCTACGTGCTCACGGACCAGACTATACTAATATTCTTTTTAACAAAAAAAAATACATAGGAAACTGTCATTAGGCTTTATTTTATACAAAACATGTCAGTTTCTAATAGCGCGGACTATAGTATACTCACTTGGGGCGGGAGTAGCGCCGAATGCCGGTTTGTTAGCGCCGAATAGCCCCGTGGTACTGGTTGTGTTGGCCGCGTTACCGCCGAATGAGAATGTGCCTGTTTCAAAAGAAAATATATACAGGGTGTTAGGTAAACGGTATACTCAACGCAGACTCGTGGCAGGCGGTGTCATAATAAATAAGTGCATATCACATTTTCTCTCGCACTTACACTGGTTATGGGTGACGTCACACAGAGGCAGGCTTAGCGTTGTTTATAATACGTAATAATTAATAAAGTATTGGCGAGGGTCCATCTGTGTTTTAAAAATTACTTAAGATGTCTTTGCGTCGAGTATAGCCTATGTCAACATAATATGCATCTAAAAAGTATGGTGAAGTCAGAAATTTAATATTATCAGATTCACTGTGTGAGTTATAAAAAGTAATGTAATAAGTCTCACTAGTTTGTCCGAAACCACCGCTGGTCCCAAGCGCCGGCGCACCGAAAACGCTTGATGCTGTAGTGGCGGCTGGCTGCCCGAACGATGCTGCAACAAATTATAAATATTTATTGAAACAACTGACAAACAGTGGCTGAGTTTCTTGCGCTGCTTCTTCTCAGCACTGGCCCATTAAATGTCCCAAAGCAGTGGTAGAGTTAATACTGGGACGTGTACAAGAGCTTTTTAAAAGCCTACTAGCAAAATTTAAATGAGTTGTATAAGTTTTCTTTAACTGGTAAAAAGAAAGAAATAAACATTTATTACGGTGGACATCACATGAAGCCATCAAGAAAGAAGAAAACGTTTACTGAGCAGTGCCACTTTGTGGCAATAGCGAAGCCCATTGCAAACCCACTCGGAATATGCCGTGATCTGCGGTAATAAGGCAAATAAGGCGTTGGTAGCAAATGAACTATATCAAAATGAAATGTAGCATGAAGGCGCTAAGATGCATGCCGCTACTATTAGAGGCCGGTCGATCTATTCTCATAAATAAAACACTGGATACTCATCTTGTACATTATATTGCCTTATTTTAGATATAATTCATCACTTAGCACAAAAGCGCGCGGAGTCGTCTCCGCGCGTCCCTCTATTCTGACGTTTGATGCTAGCGTGACATTGACGTATTGTCAATGTCACTATGACAGCATCTCATTGGCCACAACGATACCGTTATTTTAACGTTTTAGATTTTTCATAATTAACACTACCAACCGGCCAATCTGGAAATCATTGGAGGAGGCCTATGTTCAGCAGCGGACGTCCTGTAGCTGAAATGATGATGATGATGATTGTTCATTTACCGGCGCCGCCGAACAGCGGCTTGGTGTCGGCGGCGGGCGCGCCGAAGCCGCCGAACACGCCGCCGGTCGCGCCCTTGCGGCCCGCCGTGTAGTCTTCTAGCCGGAGCTCTTCTAGCGATTTGTTCTCATATTCCTGGAGAAAAAAGAACATTATTAATTAAATAATTTATTTATTTAAAGACTTTATTGCAGACACAACAATTTTCAGTACAAAAAGGCGAGCTTAATGCCATAAGTCATTCTCTACCATATACTATTGTACGGGTGGGAGGCAGTGGTTGTAGGGCACCGCTCCCGTGCCCGGGATATGCGGTCAGGAAGGGAACTAACTCCCTAGTGAGCCTAGAGTCCCTATTCCCTAAGACACTAAGTCCCTAGAGCCCTAGCCCTGCCTAACAATAGATACATAGACATAATAAGGGTTGATAGGAAGGAAGCTGCACCCAGGTCGCCCAGGGCAGCAGCGTTAGGACGGCAGGTAGGCGGCGGGGACCCGCTGCCAGCCCGGCAGACTCACCGGACTGATCATAGCGACGGCTAAGGGTGTCTTGGCCGCAGCGGGGGGAAATGAGACACAACGACGAACGGTTGATATCTGTTTTATTGGTATAATGATAAGCTATTTATATATGGGTTATTGTATGTACACATTTACGTCTATAAGTTAGTGTGCCGTGGGTGTAGAGTGCCGACGGTGCACGCTGAGGGTTCATGGGTCGCCCGGCGGTCGATGCTGACGGTGCAGCAGGATGTACGATCGTGCTCGTACAACTATATTTAGTTATTTGTTATTTAGTAATATAGTTAATTGTTTATTTGAATACTAATTCGACACCGTGGCTGAAATTATGATGACGATGAGTTCGACACCATTAATGTATAATTTAATAAATAAACTTGTCATTAATTCTTCTTTTTCGGTCAAGAAAAAGGAACTCTGTAAATAAATCTAAGCGAGGATCTTCAACACACCTGGAAAATTTTGTTGTGTATCAAAATTCCAAACCACCATAATTTATATTGTGATTGTTGGTGTATCTTCACAATAAATAAATAATAACTCATGTAACACGTCGTCAATAGTGCAAAAAACGCACAGAAGTATATACGATAACAGCGCTGCTTCTTCTCAGCACTGGCCCATTTATTGTCCCGAAGCAGTGGTAGGGTTAATACTGGGACGTGTATTTATTTATAGAAACCAACAGCGATACATTGAAAATGTTAGTTATAAGATTTAGAATAGTATAGCCAATGACAGGTTTCCCTTTTTATAAAAGTACATTGTTGTTGGAAAAAATATAAATAAAGGATGTTAAAAAAAATAATTAAAAATTGATTAGACATAAGATCTACTGTTTACTAACGAAACCCTGGCCGATCTACCACTTACATACTTCTTGAAATCTTAAATGAAACAGCATAGTTTAGTACAAAATCATGTAGTATTTTTTGCCTTGCCACGATCGACTGGACGATTAGTCGCGATCGACCGGTTGGCCACCCCTGTACGGCTAGCACGAAAAACTTTCGAGTTCAAATCGTTTGCGTACTCGAATCGCCATCAAAAGATTTAGTAAGAAAACTACACTGCGCCCTTGTGAACGTGTCCTAAAGTGAACTTAGTATGAGATGTGGTTGCACGAAACTTATTTTGAGAATCAAAATTGTCACGTTAACGTTTAATTCAAGATTGAGTATCGAATTTTATCGAATACGCAAACGATTCGAAGACGAAAGTTGTTCATGCTAGAGGTACAGCTCTATCTCTTCTCTCGTGACTGTTACCTTCATGCAAGTGATGCAGTGGTGCTTGATGCTGATGTTCTGCGATGTACCACTCTTGACGACCACATCTGTGCCCACCACCGGGTTGTATTTCACGTGGCCCGTGCCTGTGGCGGTTTGTTGCTGGCCGAACGCGCCTGGGAAGAAAGAAAGAAGTAATTTCCAAAGCTATAAAATACAAATATGAATAAACTAGTTTTTTATATAACCACTCAAACTAACATCAAATGACACTCGGCAATAATGTGACTTTCTATTGGTGAAATAATTTTTAAATTCGGTTCAATAGATCTCGAGATGACGCCTTACAATTAAAATTCAACAAATATACAAAGGCACAAACTTTACCTCTTTATAAGTTTAGGACAGATAGGGGCGGAGCAGTAAAGAAAAATGTTGCAAAAACGGGTAATATTATTCAAATTTTTTTCACGTTCAGTTAGTGTTTTTATAACATAGCTAAGAACAAAATATATTTCTCATACACAATACAAGAAAACTCACTAGTGTTGTTGAACAGTCCCCCGCCGGTCATAGAGTTGTTCTGCTGGCCGAACAACCCAGTTCCGGCGGCCGGCGTGGAGCCGAACAGACCGCCGGTCGCCGGCGCCGCCGTGGATGTGCTGCCGAAGCCGAAACCTGGTACGAAAATTTATCAATCAAAACAAAATCAAATAAAATACTTTATTTTATTTTATTTATTTTATTGTTAAGAAAACACACACATTATTATTTGCACAATATGGGTTATACAGTTGTTTGAAGAAGTAGATAAATGATTTACCATACACATAACGTCATTATCAGGCTCATTTACTTTCTTTAAGTTGGCTCTTAGGGCTCTTTCATATAAGAAATTTTGAGCAGGACATTGTCGTGCGTTAGCCAGACCGACGACCTCATAAAGGTAGCAGGAAGGCGCTGGGTGCAGGTCGCTACCAACTGGGCGATGTGGAAGTCATTGGGGGAGGCCTATGTTCAGCAGTGGACGTCCTGTAGCTGTAATGATGATGATTATAAGACCGCACAGTAATGGTTTGTAATAATAATTGTTATTTTAAAGTTGTCATATAATTTTCCATTTGCATAACTAAGTAGTAGTGACGGCAGAGTAGAATACATTTGTCACCAACCCCTCTTCCCGCGGGTGTCGTAAGAGGCGACTTAGGGACTACACATCAAACAGAGAATGGGCAGCAGCACTCTCTAAAAAACATAATTCTTTTAAACTGCGATCTCCAACCCGCCTGCCAAGCGTGGGGATTATGGAAAAACCCTCCACTATAATAGAAGAGGCTCATAGTCCAGCAGTGGACTGTAAACGGCTGTTGATGATAATGATGATAACTAAGCAGTGTTATAAAGAGCTGTGGTTTTCTAAATAATAAAAAAGAGAAAGTAATAAATAAAATGTATGTTCGTACTTTGCGTACCTGCAGGCTTCGCGCCGAAAGCCGAGGTGTTCTGCGTGTTCCCGAACAAGCCCGTGCTAGTGTTGGCGCCGAACAGCCCGCCGCCGGACGTGCTCGCGCCGAAGCCGAACCCGCCGGACGCGCCGCCGAACGCCGGCGCCGAGGTCGAGGCGGCGGTGTTGCCGAATAGCCCGCCGGATGTCGTGGACGAGCCGAAGAGGCCTGTTAAATGAGTGAATGATGAAATTATATCCGCGCCACTTTATAAATTAAAGGAGTCACAATTTTACTTTTATATTAACACAATGTTTATCAAGTGCACATATCAAGTGATTATAAAAGTCATGATTTATTAGTTTTTGCAAAAAAGAGGTGTATTCCAAACTGTTTTTCATAAATGTTAATAAAAACATTGTTACAAGGAAGTTGTGTGTTTGAAAACTGTGCATTTTTAATTTCTATGTATCTGCAGTCACACTTTTTATTAAACCAGTTGAGGTCGAGGTTTAGTTAGAAATATAATAAAATGAGTATTGGCAATTATCTTACATTTCCCAATCAACCAAACTATCAAAATGTTCATCAAGGTAGGTAACTCAGAAATAAATAAAATGCTTTTAGAATATTTCAATCTTAGCTACATAGTTATTGCAACTCACGAAGGCGAGTGAGCTTTACTTGTGTGTGTAAGTGTACATGCACATAACGATAGTGTAATGTCTATCAAAACTTTTGAAAAACGAACTACAGAGAGCCACCACATATAAAATATGTAAAGCTCACTCGCTTTCGTGAATTGCAACAACTATAATATGTCTGTACTCACCGCCACCAGTGGCGGGTTGCGGCGTGGCGGCGGCGCCGAAAGCCGGCGGCGCGCCGAACGCGCTCCCGCCGGTCGCCGGTTTAAACCCGCTGAACGGCGACGCCGTGCTCGTTCCGGCGTTGAACGAGCCTGTGGGAGAAAATCAATTTCAATTTCAAATAACTGGCGAGAAGTGACACAGAACAGACCAGAGTGGAGATTTTTATTGTCAAAAGCCAAAACTCATTTAGAGCTAAAAAAAACCGGCCAAGTGCGAGTCGGACTCGCGCACCGAGGGTTCCGTACCATTTATTTATGAAATTAAAATTATTATTTTTTATTTAAGTTATTAGTATGAAAGATTACGCGGTAATAAGCGGTTTACGATTTACGAGGTATTAAAAAAAACTACTTACTAGATCTCGTTCAAAACAATTTTCGTTGGTAGTTTTTATAGTAAAGTACATCATGTCTTTTTTAGATTTTTAATTTTCTTATTTTAGAAGTTAGAGGGGGGGACCAACTTTTTTTCACTTTGGAAGCGTCTGTCACGCAAACTATTCGGTTTAGAAAAAAAAATGTTTTAGAAACCTCGATATCATTTTTGAAGACCTATCCATAGATACCCCACACGTATGAGTTTGATGAAAAAAATTTACTGAGTTTCAGTTCTAAGTATGGGGAGCCCCCAATATTATTATGTATTATTTTATTTTTGCATCAAAATCTTAATGCGGTTCATAGAATACATCTACTTACCAAGTTTCAACAGTATAGCTCTTATAGTTTCGGTAAAAAATGGCTGTGACATACGGACGGACAGACAGACATGACGAATCTATAAGCGTTCGTTTTTGCCATTTGGCTACGGAACCCTAAATAAAACTCATTTTTTTATGCAAGTAGGCTTTTAAAAAGCACTTACGTTTTTAAAACCATTTAGGGTCTTATTTAGTTCAAAATAAAAATTATAATATTTTGCATTTAGGCTTTTAAAAACCACCACTGCTTCAAGACAATAATTTGGGCCAATGCTGAGAAGAAACAGTGTAAGAAATTCAGTCACTATTGTCAGCTTCTTTTTCAAAGATTTCAGCATTTTTCCTTAGCAAAGGTACCATTCCATTATGGTTCTTGTACATTATTCTTTTCCCTGATAAAGTCTTGTGTCCATTGTAATTTAAAAGAAATGGGATTATTTTACTGTAGAAATTGTTAAAAAAAACTCATATCAAACACTTACCAAACGTTGACGTGTTGGTGCTACCAAATGCTGGTTTCTGGAACATTTTGCTGGACTTCCTCGGTTGCCGATGTACACAAACTCACTGTCGCTTGCGTCTCTTGTCAAACAAGTCCCACCATGTTGATTCCTGTCGCAAATATTATACTTTTATGTATTTTATAATGTATTGTATATTAAAAAGCACACTTGTAGCAGTAAGCAGTGATGCATAAATGTTACACAAGTGCACTGATGTATTCTATAAAATACTTGTTAAGAACTTAAAAAATTAGAAATATTATGATATTGTTACTGTAAAAGCCCATATTAAACCAGTAAATCTTAGGTTTTGTTAAAAAATATTCTAGAATTTTTGCTAATATGAGTCAATAATTATGTGTTGATTATTCTACCACATTATCCATTTTGTTTACACATTACAGTTTTTAAACTGACCCAATAAAACCTTTTTGAAAGAAAGAAAGAAAGAAAAAATATTTATTTGGTATCAAAGATATTACAATACAGATCAATAAAATGAATTTTTAGTGAATTATTCTTTCTTATTCTTATAAAAAATACTGTATCGGCACAAATATGAGGATAATTTACTTGTTATTGTGTAGTTTTGATAAAATTTACACTGCTCTAAATAATCTTAATGTTTTGTTTACAATCTTTGAGTTTATACTGACCAATGGTAGGCAGAGAAAGTGCACTTATAGCTATGTAGCATTGATTAGTAAGAGGGTAGAATGTTACACAATGTTTATGATGAATTTCATAAAATTTCTAGGTCAAGCCAACTGCTTTTGCTGATACAGTATTTTTTAAGTTCTTAACTAGGTATACATCCGATTTTATGGAAAAATTGACTTTTTTAGATAACATTTAAAAAGATAGGGATGAATAGCAATCTGTAAAAGCTTTTACGGAGTTTTTGCAATGAAATAACGTGGTGAAACAAGGAAAAATGAGTCAATTAAGTACATAAATATAACCTATATATAAATACCACAACATACACTGTTAGGCAATATAAACAAACAAACTGAAAGCTAATTGTAGTAGTACAATGATTTATAAGTATTTGGTATTAATTTTAAAGATAAAATTTGAGAAATTGCACGAGAATTTTTAGGTACGCCAAAATATCTGACTGACATATAATCCAACCAGTTTTGGTACGCGCATGGCTGACTTCAACTTTCAAATTCTGCAACTTGCAATTATTGCATTTAGTACAAATAAAATATACATCAGTGTTATGTAAATGTGATTAAAAATACTTATTATTGTAAAAAATAACAAGTAAATTAATCATGTTTCATGTACTGGATTCAAAATACAATGCGAAACGGTTACGAATTTCAAATCTCCTCAATTTAGCAGGTTAGCCTACATTGAAATGTTGATCGAATTATTTGCAAAACTTACCCAAAATGACAAAGCCTAAGTTGGCGATATTTGCTGCAACTTTATTCTCCTTCAAAAACACTCACGATAGCACTTGAATATTCACGTATCAGCACAAAATTGAAGATAAAACCACATGTGAAACTTGCGCACACAACAACCGCGAACGAATGAAGTTCATTCAATGAACAAACAAGTGAAGTGAATGAATGATTGATTCAGGAATGACACATGTCAAAGCAAGTGAATGACTGACCGATTGTAGATAGTGATGGGTAAATGTTTACTTTATTACGATTTCAATTGATTGGAAGTCTAGATTTCTTATAATAAATAAATAAACTAACCAGAGTGAAACCTTACAATTACCTACATCATGCATTCGTTTTAATCATAATATTATCACATTTTTAACCGCAAATGAAGAAGCAAAAACAATTTTATTCAGTTCGTCCACCAAATCCCCTTAACGTGGGAACATATTTTTTGAACTAATGCGCGACCGGTAATAAAATGACCAAGTTATTTGTTTAGTTACATAAAACTTTTTGTTATCGCTAAGGATTATTGAAAATGTCGGTATCGCATTCACGTAGCTAAAATAAAATACATTTCACACACAATACTTTTAGGCGAGTTACTCATGTTGCCGTAAAACAATGTTGTGTTTCTTGAGTTGGCTCATAACGCTATGTAAGTTGTTTAATAGAATTAAATAGAGCTAAAACATGACAATTAGGGTATTTCATTCACATATTACGTTTCGTAGATAGCATCACCATCATTTCAGCCATAGGACACCCATTGCTAAACATAGAACTCCCCCAATATCAACTAATGATAGGTAGGGCGCTAATAAAATTAAGACAATTTTTTCACCTTTTTCCTTCAGATGCACCTATGTTCGTTACCAGCGTCAGCGTGAACATAGACGGAGTCATAGACCTTGGCCCCAAATGGAACTACGAGTACAAAATAAAATCTTCCGAAACATTCCCTACTACTGAACCCACAGAACCGTTCACGGTCGCTCCCGATTTCTTCAGAGGGATCTCTAAGAAAAAAGAAAAGAAGAGAAAAAAGAACGCAACGCCAGCAGCTGACATCAACCCAGATTCACTAATCACGAAATACTCGCATCGTTTCAAGCCAAAAAGCATCTACGATAGACCTCACTCTGTCAAAGACGACTCCAAAATCAACGAATTCACTTATCACGTCTACAAACAGTCGATGAAAGTGTTCGACGAAATCAAGAAGAAAGTAGATCCGTCGATTCAACACAAAGTGCAATTCCTAGCGCGGAGTTACGACGATAAATTCCGTGAGTTCGTCAACGAAACATTGCACCAAAAAATCAAAACGCGTCTAGGATCCGAGCGGGTTGTATTAAATATCATTGACACATCGAATCGGCTGCTGAAACGACTTGTAAACTATTTTATTGGGGACATGAACAAGGAAGGAATTCAAAGAAACAATATGGCAGCAGCGAATGTGCTTCAGAAAGAAGTTGAGAGAGAATCTGTACTGGAGTTGAAGCATGCGTGCAGTAAATTTTCCATTTGCAGAAACTCTAATGGATTTAGCGAATTTATGATCGATGTGTTCACGATTATCGCTAAGAACGACGATGCAAAAATCAAGCAAGCAGCCGACGCGCTCACTGAAGTTATGAAAAACACGGACTTTAGCAAAGTTATGGACTGGAATACAAGGAAAAAGTTTATGAAAAAGATCGAGGAGATTGAATCTTTGGACCCGCTCATGTTAAAAGCTATGTTCTGGATCGCAATAAACGCCTTTTCAATGAAAAATAAGCCACTCAACGTCATGGATGATGATTCCGGACAAATTAACAAAACCATAGCTTTCTTAGAAATTATACATGAATTGGACAAAAAATTACCAGCTAACGATGAGAATATGCTCGAATGGAACGACATCAAAACCAGTTTGACTGCTTGGAGTCACGGGACCAGACACGACATTTTGGAAATAATGCAAGGATTAGTGACTTTCTTTAAGAAAAAAGGAATTGATAAGTTAGATAGTAAAACTGCACTTAATTTTAATGATAAATTAAGTATGGTTTTAACATAATGTCTTAACTTAAGAATAAATGTGATAGGTAAGTTGAGATAACCAGCAGCACCAGTATCACTGTAAGCAGATAGATGAATAATAAATAATTTATTTTTAAGTAGACCCCTACCCTACCTATTTGGTACCCAGTCCAAAGAAAAAAATATCAGTTGTGTTGTTTGGTAATACGCCACCTTTTATTTCTATTTAGTTTTACTACTCGACAATAGATGGCGTTGAACTAGTTAGCTTCATAAGTAGTAGTGATGCTGCTTCCACACTGTACATTTAATTTCAAATAACTAAGGTAGATGGCGTTAAATACAAAAGCGTTATACACCGCCATTACCTTGCTTCCATCGTCCATTGAAAATTCTATTTTCCATTTGCTAATTAAATTAAGCTAAATTGAAGCTGTGTACTATCTTTAAATAAATAATAAATTTGTGGCGAGCTGTTGGTGAGTAGCGACACCACGGGGCCAGTTGTTAATCCGAGTGCTCCCGAGAGTCGGTCAAGACCCTCGTCTTCGGCTTGCCGAAGTGGAAACCGAGAGAGTCTGCAGGACTTTCACCTCTGGCTTGCCTTAACCGGCCGGCCAGAGTGGAGTCGCTAGAGCTATATGCTCCAGGGATGGAAGTGTTAAAGGGCATAACGCCGCGAGTAACTCCGGAGAAAGCGCAGCACACCTCTCTACACCCCTGAGCTGGTAGACGCCAATGTTGCCCCTCAGTCCGGTCTATACGACTCATGACGCCAGAGGGGGCCCATTTAGTCGCTGGCTAGTCACCGCCTGCCATTTTTTCAGTCCGAGACTATGAACCAGGCAGGTGACCCGTAGTCTCCATCCATAGCCCAGTAACCAGTCCATCCATCCTTCATCCATAACCCTAGTCCATTCTCCAATAACTGCAATAGCTCCTGTGCACAGGCCGGAGATGGTTTCTGGCTACATCCCATGATATAGTCAGAGACTAGATCCAGCATGTGCACCACTTTCACTTTTGTCGATTATTTTGCGCTTAAAACGGCCTCTACGTGTTGGATCTGTATCCCCACGCAAGCCTTATAAAGGACCGGGCCACTTTTGACCCGTGAGCTCCAAAGCGTACAAACATAATAATAAAATCAAAATCAAAAAAAATATTCAGTTTAGACCACAAGTGGCACTTATGAACGTCAAAATATAGTAAATAATAAAAAAAGTAAAGGTAGCCCTTTATGGGGCACTTTACATGTCTCCTTATCTTTTTGGCCCTACCAAACCTACCTACTAAAGAAATTGAAACTGTCAAGAAACATAGTTATTAAATTTTTAGCGTTTGGAGTCNTTTAAATACATAATTATGTTTCATACATTGTTTTTTATTTACATTTGCAAGATCATAATTTTGGATCTTTAAAAATATCGGGCTGTTTCTTGACAATTATAAATAACTTGAAAAAATCGAACTGCCTAAGGCGGGAATTGAACCCACGACCTTCCGCTTGCTCAGTTGGAAGAGCAGTCGCCCGGCAAGCGGAAGGTCGTGGGTTCAATTCCCGCCTTAGGCAGTTCGATTTTTTCAAGTTATTTATAATTGTCAAGAAACAGCCCGATATTTTTAAAGATCCAAAATTATGATCTTGCAAATGTAAATAAAAAACAATGTATGAAACATAATTATGTATTTAAATGTATTTACAATAAAATATATAGTTATCAGACGTAAACTTACTTTCACAATATCGAAAATTACACTCTATTCAGTAAGAAACTATTTTTTGTTTTATGGACTAACTTAGTGACGTCACAGTGGACTATAAACTCAAGAAAAAAGCAAATAAATAATTACAATGCTTTTATACTTAAAATTAATGATAAATGGCTGATTCTAGAGTCGGAAGTTCAATCCCTATCGACCGCTGGACTGTTGTGAACCCATTTCTAAAACAAGCATATTTAGATTGTTTCATCCACGAAGACGCGCCCCACCATTCTTCCGCTTATGTTTGAGTGTTATCGGTACACGCTAAATTATCCATGAGTGCACACGCACACTACAGTAATGCCTTACGGATTGCTCGGACCACACTCCCCGCACCCCGCGCGACCGGGACCATACATTGGTAGGGCGCGCCCGAGTGGATGAAACGATCTACATTTCCTCACAAATTAAAATATAGTGAGAAAAAACTAATAGTAAGTATTTTGGGTAAAACGTATCAACTAATGAATTAAAAAGTTGACAATTACTTTTGACCCTTAATTCCAAAACCATTCTCTAATGGTACAAAAAATTAAATAATATCCTAATTTTCTTTCATACACATAAGTACAATCGGCATCAAATAGTTTGTGACACCTAAAGTAGCCAAAAAGTAGACAACACAAGTTTTGTTGCGAACTTTTTGGCCACTTTGGATGTCACGACCTATTTGTCGCTGACTGTACTAAACTTAACTAAAATATACGCTTATAAACAAGGCTAATTCTTAAGTTACAGAGGTTGTTCGAAAAATTTACAATTTCACTTTAAAATTCGATGAGCACTTCCACAATTCTTGGAAAAAAAGCACAAAATAATTTTCTTCCACCGTTGTAACAATGTCACAACTCTAGTGTCAAACAATGAGCCGCCATGTATGTCTGACACCGCTCAAATACAATAAAAGACTTACTTAAAACTAACAAATCAATTGTAAAGCTTGTTTAATTAAAAGCACTACTCCTTTCAAGTATACATAAGTAAAAAATTACACAATTAAAAAAAAATATCCAGTTCCCTTTAGGTTTATAAAGCCCGGTTTCCGAGCACGTAGAATTTTGTCCAATGACCCCAAGCTACCCATCCTTATCGCTCGCGCGTAATTATATTGCTGTCGCGACTGTGCGACGGGCGCCCGCAGTGAGTGTGCGAGCGCGACAGCAACATAATTACGCGCGAGCGATAAGGATGGGTAGCTTGGGGTCATTGGATAAAATTCTACGTGCTCACAGACCAGACTATAGAACTTATAATTCTCAGAAGAATTTAAATAAAATTTAGTTATGTGATATATTTACGCCCGTATTCACAAACATTACTATGAGGTCTCACAGTGCGCGTGGACGCACAGGGTGACACACGAATCAATCACAGAGTTCTATTCAACGCTGGGCGTTCAATTTGCTGCTTCACTTAAGCAAGCATCGTTTATAAATACGGGCGTAAGCCCTCAGGTTGTATTTTTTCTGCGATAGGTTAACACGCATCAAAATCAAATTCGTCATCCGATATGCTATCTAAATCCATCGATTTCGCATCGGACTTCGGCGGCAAGAGGTCTTCCAAAGAAATCTTATCCGCTTCATAATCATTAACATCATTATTCTCAGCAACTTTATCGTTACTGTCAGCAACATGATTGTAATTTGACTTTTCATTATTTTCAGAAATCAAATCATTGATTGCTCTTTCATGATCTGTTAAATTTTCTCTGTCCTCACAGGCATTTGTGACATCATTATTAGCACCATTTTGGTTTTGTGATTCGAAATCATTATTTTCATTGGATTCATCATTGTTTTTGTTATCTTCACCGATATGTTCGTTTAAATCATCCATGAGCTTTTTATCATCTACTTCTGTATCACTAATGTCATTCATATCACCAAAACTAAGTTTATCTGATTTTTCTTCGACTTCCCCATTCGTCGTTTTCGCCGAAATTGTGTCGCTAATTCTTTCATTATCATTATTTGTGTTTTCATGATCATTAATTGTGTTTTCATGATCATTAATTGTGTTTTCATGAGCATTATTTGTATTTTCATGGTCATTATTTGTGTTTTCATGATCATTATTTGTATTTTCATTGTCATTATTTGTATTTTCATAATCATTTGTATTTTCTTGATCATTATTTGTATTTCCACTATCATTATTTAGAGTAGAATCATTAGTATCATCTTCCATGCTATTATCATTCTTAGTATCTACAGTAGAGCTATTATTTCTATTATTAATAACGTCTTTACAGTCATTATTACTGTTTTCGTTATCCAAATCAACATTATCAGTATTTGTACGTTCTTCAGGCTTATTTTCAACGCTATCTACATGGTTAAAATCCGCAATAGGTTCTGTTCTATTATCATTATTAGACTTATCATTATTGCTTTCTCTACTATCGTCATTAGAGACCTCAGTATTGTTTTCTGTTTTTGCATCATTGTCATTGCTTATTCCTGTACTATCTGTATCTACATCATTACTTCTACTGTCATTATTTTCACGAATAACACTTACTCTAGAGATTTCGGTAACATCCTTCTCTGAATTTTCTAATTCAGAATTGACTTTATCAGCCGTCTCTGTCCCACATTCACTGTCCTTATCACTCACTCTATTACTTAAACCATCTTCTGTACTAACATCCTCGTTAGTTTTATCTTCTGTCTTTCTCGCACTTTCTTCGCTGTCCTTGTCTAGTCTTTCTCTACTGTTCAAACCTTCTTTATTAATATTTTCATCAGTTTCTATTCCACTTTCGTCACTATTCTTATCTACTCCCACTGTATCACTTGCCTCTGTTTTGCTATTTTCATCGTTTTTAGCCCCCGCGTTAAGGTCTAAAATCGACTGACTATCATTAGAATCCTCTACATCTGCTTTCATATTAGAAACCGTTTCATCAAACGGCACGTAATTAGTCAACAAGGATTCTTCATCAGACCCATTATTGCCGTTATCCCAACTGTCTTCGTTATCGAAATTATTAATAATATTTTCTATATCTCTCTTCATAGTGCCTTCAAACTCTAACTTCACCTTTCTGCGCTTCCTAGCGACTTTCCCAAGACATTTTTTAGAAAATATCTTCTTCAAAGATAATGTTGTTAATGAATCCACTGTAGTTTTTCCTTCGCTGTCAGAACTGCTATCCCAGTGAATAAATTCCTCGTCTTCTATATCGTCCAGTTCAGTCTTAATGCTGACCATACTGTCAAGACACAGTTGGGACTTGACAGTTGACAGGTAGGGGTAGACACAGCGCCTGTCGAGGCCGTAGTTCTGAAACAAAATTATGTCATAAAAATTCTAGTAATTTATTTTCTCTATGATAAAGTAGCACATCGTTTCGGTCAAATGTAGTCCACTGCTGGACAAATGCCTCCCCCAAGAATGTAAAAAAACTCTTAAAACGCCTTTGTTCTTGCAAGTAGACTTTTAAAAGGCACTTTTACACGTCCCAGTATTAACCCTACCACTGCTTCGGGACAATAAACGGGCCAGTGCTGAGAAGACGCAGCGCAAGAAACTCAGTCACATTTGTCAGCCTTTTTCAAAAGTTCGCAATCCTATCCTGACTTATGGTCCTATGTCCCCTAGATGGGGCAGACTATGATGATGAATGGATCCTATCCTACTATACTATAAATGTGAAAGACTATGATGATGTCTGGATGTTTGTTACTCTTTCACACAAAAACAACTGAACCAATTTCGATAAAACTACAGTATTCTCACCTTAGGTACGCGAGACACGTCGTTTTGCGTTTCCAGAAGACCGTCGCATCGGGATATCCGCACTTGCACCGGTTTGATTCTCGCCTTGACGTCCGGGTCAACCTTTATTTCACTTGAGCCTGAAGAACAAAATTAAAATAAATAAATATCATTGGACATTTTACACTGCGCTTCTAGTCCCAAACTAAGCAAAGCTAGGGTACTAGACAACGGATGTAAACATGCTTAAATACGTACTTTTTTTTGTAAATACATACTTATTATACATAGAAAACACCCAGTCCAATACAAACAAATATGTTCATGCCCACAAATTTGTACTGTGCTGGAATCGAACCCGCTACCTCCGGAATAGTAGTCCGTTTCAACCACTACACCAAACGGCCGACTTAATTTTTGTTCATTGGTAAATTGGAAAAAAAAATACGTTTAAAGGCTCTTTTCCACAGGGAATCCAATTTAATAGGGATATTTACTGGGTACCGGGACCGTTACTGACTAAAAGTATTTTTAGGACACTAGCCTGTTACATGTATTGTTTTCCCACTAGCAGCTTCCTGCATTATGCGAAAATGTTTTCGCAAACATCCGTACTGCAAAAAAATCTCTACCATATAGGTCGTTGTCTCTCACAAACTTTAAACTTTTGTAAAGCCCGGTCTGTGAGCACGTAGAATTTTGTCCAATGACCTCAAGCTAACTATACTTATCGCTCGCGCGTAATTATATTGCTGTCGCGACTGTGCGACGCGCGCCCGCAGTGAGTGTGCGAGCGCGACAGCAACATAATTACGTGCGAGCGACAAGGATGGGCAGCTTGGGGTCATTGGACAAAATTCTACGTGCTCACAGACCAGAGTATAGAAAGATTTTTTATATATATTTTTTTTGTACAGGTTGTAAGGACAAACAAAACTCACCTTTCTTTTTAGACATGCAAATGGCCTCGTGTTTCTTTTGATTCTTTAGAAGACTGTACACACGCTTGCAGTTGCTACATTTACCTGTAAATTAAATGGGAACATTAATATTATTCTTCCTTCGGCCTGATCACCACTTTAAGACCTTCTGTGTTGTGGTTTGACGCTGACTATACTACATAGTCAGCGTCAAATAGTTCAACTTTATTCCAATCGTGACAAAGACGTGTTGCGAACTTTTTGGTCACTTTGGGTGTCACGAACTATTTGACGCTGACTGTAGATAAGTATCGATCGATACTGTCACTATTTTATGAGGACCATCGATATCGATGTTGCGTCGCACATTATTGCGTGGCGCTCATCGTAGACTTAGGACACCACCATATTAGATCAAAAGCTAGTAGGTCGCGACTTTAAAGGTATACAGTGTGAGTCACGTTAAAGTGTACATATGAAAATAGATAAAACTAGACCTGTTTTTATCGACAAAAAAGAGGTCAAAAATTTTTTGAGATTTTTTTTAAGTTTTTTATAGAATTTTTTTTCTTCCAATTACTTATTGTAAAGAAAACGTAATAACTTTTAAACTAAGCGGTATATCCTGATAAAATAAAAACAGTAATAATGCTAAATAACAGGCGATACTAAAAAAATACATAAATTACACAAAAAAGGCCAAAAAATAATAAAAAATAATACTTTTTGAACAAAATCTGCTTAAAAATTCGTTTTTTTTTGGTTATTTGATAAATTTCTCCAAAAAATGCCCCTATAACTGGTAGTTTTTATTACTTTGTATTATTTTCTATCGTATTACCTTCGTAAAACCAAAAATCGCATGTCTCTATCCCTATCACAACGTTTGCAATGATCGTTTGAACTAAGCCTCTCCGGGCGCGCCATTCAACGCTTCGTTAACAACAAAACTGAAAATGGCTCTAGATTTGTAATTTTGATAAAGACAAGTTAGATTTCAAATAAAAACAAAAGATTTCGAAGTAAAATAAGCATTTTAGTTAAAATTAAAATTGTCTCTACCTGTAGCGGAGAATAATGTTGTGGCAGGCCTTTGTTCAAACGATCATAGCAAATGTTGTGATAGGGATAGAGACATGCGATTTTTGGTTTTACAAAGATAATACGATAGAGAACAATACAAAGTAATAAAAACTACCGGTTATAGGGGCATTTTTTGGAGAAATTTATCAAATAACCAAAAAAACACGAATTTTTAAGCAGATTTTGTTCAAAATGTATAATTTTTTATTATTTTTTGGCCTTTTTGTGTAATTTATGTATTTTTTTAGTATCGCCTGTTATTTAGCATTATTACTGTTTTTATTTTATCAGGATATACCGCTTAGTTTAAAAGTTATTACGTTTTCTTTACAATAAGTAATTGGAAGAAAAAAAATTCTATAAAAAATTTAAAAAAAATCTCAAAAAATTTTTGACCTCTTTTTTGTCGATAAAAACAGGTCTAGTTTTATCTATTTTCATATGTACACTTTAACGTGACTCACACTGTATAGTATTTTCCGAGTTTAATACTCGTAAAATGATCAACTTTTCTTTCATTTTTACGTTGCAGTACGGAGTTTCATACAAAGAATACTGACAGCATCGAGTTGATAACGGTTACGATCCCTTTCCGGGTTGGTAAATGTGCTACATCCTTTAGTCCTTAGCTATAGCTATAGTCCGGTCGCCGAGCACGGAGAATTCTGTCCAATGACCCCAAGCTACCCATCCTTATCGCTCGCGCGTAATTATATTGCTGTCGCGACTGTGCGACGGGCGCCCGCAGTGAGTGTGCGAGCGCGACAGCAACATAATTACGAGCTAGCGATAAGGATGGGTAGCTTGGGGTCATTGGACGAAATTAGACGTGTTCGGCGACCGGGCTCAAGTACATTTCTACCTATATGGTGTGTATAGTGCCTTACCGCCAGGCCTGTTGTCCTCGCCGCCACAATGGTGGAGCCGTAGCAAGTTGCTCGTGGGGAACAGTCGCCAGCAAGACGGGCACTTCTTGTCCGGAACCTCTGGCCAGGGCACACACTTGGAGGTTGCGATGTGTCTGGAACAAATTAATATTAATTAGAAGGTCTGTGTTTAAGCCTTTAAAAGGCAGTGGGAATAAGTTTCATCAATATTTTGAATTTAATTCGCTTATCTTGAGGTCCAAAAACAAAAAAAAATTTGATTATGTTATGACTGTTAAAGGGTTATCAACTGTGGCTATGGTCTCCTATTAAACGCTACACGCGTTCTAGAAAGCTAGCAGCAGCTCTGGCTAGCTAGCGGCGTCCCTGGCTAGCTCGCAGCGCCTCTGGCTGGCTAGAAGCGCCTCTGGCTAGCTAGCGGCGCAATCTGGCTACCGTAGTCACCCTTCGAGAACAGCAGCGCCCCTGGCTAGCTAGCAACGCCCTTGGCTAGCTGGTAGCACATCTGGCTAGCAGCGCCACTGGCTAGCAAGCAGTGCCCCTGGCTTGCTAGCGACGCCTCTGGCTGGCTAGCAGCACCTCTGGCTGGCTGGCAGCACCCCTGGCTAGCTAGCAGCGCCCCTGGCTAGCTAGGTGCGCCTGTGGCTAGCTAGGTGCGCCTGTGGTTAGCTAGCAACGCCTCTGGCTAGCTAGCAGCGCCCTTGGCTGTCTAGTGATGCCTCTGGCTGGCTAGCCACGCCTCTAGCTACTTAACTAGGTTTCTAGCTACCTAGCCACGCCTCTGGCTACTTAGTCACACCTCTGGCTACCTAGCCACACCTCTAGCTACCTATCGATGCCACTGGTCACCTAGTTACACCGCTGGCTTGCGTTGACTACTCTTGACGGCGCTTTTGACTGCTCCTTCTTAGAATCTCATGCCTTGAGATCTGAACCACGCCTCGCCTGCTGTACCTAATAGTAACTAGTTCTATTTATTTTATTTTATTTATCCACTCACTCTGTATATCTCTGCGCGCTGCTGTACCGGCCCCGGCAGCGGCGGCAGCGGTAGGGCCGGTGTTTGACGCGGTGTTGCGTGTGATGGTTGAGAGTTTCTTCCGGCGAGCTGAACCATTCGGAGCACGCGTTACATGCTAGCCTGGAGAATAAAATACATAGTTTTAATCTAGCTTTGGGCAGACAGGGCTTAAAGAAGTAAGTAAAACATCATTTGCTTCCACCTTTGGATAGCTAGCCCCGCCTGTGGCTACTTAGCCCTGCTTCTAGCGACCTAGCCACTCTTCTGGCTACCTAGCCACTCTTCTAGCTACTTAGACACTATGGCTCCCCCTATGGCTACCTAGTTAGGCCTCTGGCTACCTAGCGTAAGTCTCTGGCTACCTAGCTTAAGTCATTGACTGTCTAGCTTGGCCTCTGGCTACCTAGCTAGACTTCTGGCTATCTAGACACTCTTCTGGCCATCTACACACTCTTGTGGCTATTTAGATGTGCCTCTGGCTACCTAGGTAGGCTTATAGCTACCTAGCTTGGTCCCTGGCTACCCAGCTTAGTCTCTAGCTAGCTAGTTCGATCTCTGGTTACCTAGCTTGGTCTGTAGCTACCTAGGAACTCTTTTGCCTACTTAACTAAACACTACTGGCTGCCTAGCTAGGTGTCTACCGAGCTACGCTTCTGTCTACCTAGCTACGCTTCTGTCTACCTAGCTAGGCTTCTGTCTACCTAGCTACGCTCTGTCTACCTAGCTACGCTTCTGTCTACCTAGCTACGCTTCTGTCAACCTAGCTACGCTTCTGTCTACCTAGCTACGCTTCTGTCTACCAAGCTACGCTTCTGTCTACCTAGCTACGCTTCTGTCTACCTAGCTACGCTTCTGTCTACCAAGCTACGCTTCTGTCTACCTAGTTACGCTTCTGTCTACCTAGCTACGCTTCTGTCAACCTAGCTACGCTTCTGTCTACCTAGCTACGCTTCTGTCTACCAAGCTACGCTTCTGTCTACCTAGTTACGCTTCTGTCTACCTAGTTACGCTTCTGTCTACCTAGCTACGCTTCTGTCTACCCAGCTACGCTTCTGTCTACCTAGCTACACTTGTGTCTACCTAGCTACGCTTCTGTCTACCTAGTTACTCTTCTGTCTACCTAGCTAAGCCTCTGATCCATCTTGCTCAGTCTCTAGCACTGCCTGTGTGTATATACTCACTCGGGGTTTGTGTACTGGACAGTGTGACATCGCACGTGACTCGTGAGCGCCTGACTGCTGCGTAGAGACAACGCGCACACGACACAAGCGAACTCTGGTGGCTTGACTGGCACTGACAACCTGTGGACTGGCTACTTAGATGTGCCTCTGGCTACCTAGCTAGGCCTCTGACTACATATCTACGCCTTTTCGCTAGGCCTGTGGCTACCTAGCTAAACTTCTAGCAATCTAGCTACGCTTCTATCCACTTAAGACACTATTCTGGCTACCTAGCTTGGTCTGTAACTACCTGGATACTCTTTTGGTTACCTATCTAGGCGGGCGTCTCGATACTTAGCTAAGCCCCAAGCTACCTAAACACTCTTCTGGCTATTTAGACACTTTTCTGACTACCTAGATACTCTTCTGGCTACTTAGATATGCCTCTGGCTATCAAGACACTTTTCTGGCTATCTAGCTAAACCCCAGGCTACCAAAATTCTGGCTATTTAGACACTATTCTGGCTATTTAGACACACTTCTGGCTTCTTAGACACTCTTCTGGCTACTTAGACACTCTTCTGGCTACTTAGACACTCTTCTGGCTACTTAGACACTTTTCTGGCTACTTAGACACTCTTCTGGCTACCTAACTAGGCTTCTGGCTACCTAGTTAGGCCTCTAGCTACCTCGCCAAGCCTGTGGCATATACCTATCAACACCTCTGGCTACATAACTCCGCCTCTGTGTATAATATACATAATTATGCATTGTATATACTCACTCGGGGCTTGTGTACTGGACAGTGTGACATCTCACGTGACTCGTGAGCGCCTGACTGCTGCGTAGAGACATCGCGCACACAACACAAGCGAACTCTGGTGGCTTGACTGGCACTGACAACCTGTAGACTGGCTACTTAGATGTGCCTCTGGCTACCTAGACACTCTTCTGGCCACCTAGACACTATTCTGGCTACATAAACACACTTCTGGCTACCTAGACACTTTTCTGGCTACTTAGACACTCTTCTGTCTACCTAGCTAGACCTCTGGCTTCCTAGACACTCTTCTGGCTACTTAGCTAGGCCGCTGGCTACCTCGCTACGCCTCTGGCTACCTAGACACTATTCTAGCTACCTAGACACTATTCTGGCTAGCTAGACACTTTTCTGGCTTCTTAGACACTCTTCTGGCTACCTAGCCAAGTCTCTGGCTACCTCGGTACGTGTCGAGCTACGCTTCTGGCTACCTAGCTTGGTCTCTAGATACCTAAAAACTCTTTTGACTATTTAGACACTCTTCTGGCTACCTAACTGGACCTTCTGGCTACCTAACTAGGCTTCTGGCTACCTAATTAGGCCTCTAGCTACCTCGCCAAGCCTGTGGCATATACCTATCAGCACCTCTGGCAACGTAACTCCGCGTCTGTGTATAATAATGCATTGTATATACTCACTCGGGGTTTGTGTACTGGACAGTGTGACATCTCACATGACTTGTGAGCGCCTGACTGCTGCGTAGAGACATCGCGCACACAACACAAGCGAACTCTGGTGGCTTGACTGGCACTGACAACCTGTGAACATCGGCACTAGGTCAAAACTCTGGCAATACAGTAACTGTATATCAGTGTAACATTGGCTCAAATATAATAGACGTGTTGACACCACCAATCAATGAGGGCTATCGTTTTTATACTTAACAGTTGGCACCCCTGGCGATTGACAGGACCTTACTCTACAGTGGCGCCATCTTGATGAGTGCAAATGCGATAGTCCTCCTACCACTTTAGCGCTCACCAGTTGGTGCCACTGTCTTCGCTACTAGCAAGTGACAGGACCTTACTCTACAGTGGCGCTAACTGGTGAGCGCTAAAACGATAGCCCTCATTGAATACTTTTTAAAACTGTCAAAACGAGTCTCCCATAGATTTTTTAATGGCAATACAAGTAGGTAAGTGACGTCATTATTTTGTCAACTCAAACTACTTTTTTCAATTACAATGCAACCAAAAATCTTAATTTACAGGTAATTTAAAATTAATTCAGTTTTTAATATCAGAATGAATTGTCTTTTTAAAAAAGTTGTGATTTTGAATTATTGGGGAATGGTGTCAAACAGTCTATTGGCGCCCGTTCGTTCGTTTCAGCCGAAAGACGTCCACTGCTGGACAAAGGCTTCCCCAAGGATTTCCACAAAGACCGGTCCTGCGCCGCTCGCATCCAGGCACCTCCCGCGACCTTCACCAGATCGTCGGTCCACCTAGTGGGAGGCCTGTCATCGCTACGTCTTCCGGCTCGGCATTTACAACTATATGCGTCGAATAGGAACACACCGTTCAGTGAAAATGTTAAAAATTATACTAACTTGACTTTTTTCTGTGGCACTTCTGGTTTCGCAGCCTCGCGCGACCTTTTTGACCTCACAGGCGGCGGAGTATCTTCTCTCTGTAATTAATGTTTTATTTTGATAAGTATTTTAAATAATTTTTTTTTTGCGAATTTTGGGTTAACGCACAGCAGTTGTTACAGATTTAAAAAAATATTACTTAAGTTATTTATTTAAAAAGAAAAAAGAAGAAATTATACGCGCTTCAGCAGGTTATTCCATAAATAAGAATGTTATTAAAGCCCGGTCTGTGAGCACGTAGAATTTTGTTCAATGACCCCAAGCTACCCATCCTTATCGCTCGCGCGTAATTGTATTGTAATATTGCTGTCGCGACTGTGCGACGGGCGCCCGCAGTGAGTGTGCGAGCGCGACAGCAACATAATTACGTGCGAGCGATAGGGATGGGTAGCTTGGGGTCATTGGACGGGATTCTACGTGCTCACGGACCAGGCTTTAGTAAAGTACAATTATTACATACCTTCACCTTGACTTTAGGCTTTTCAATTTCTCTCTCTTTACTTTTCTTCAGTATTGACTTTGGTTGAGGCGTTTCCACTTTCACTGAAGACTTTTTTGCTTGTTGCTGCTGTAAACGTTTATTATGAAACTTGAATATTGTTATTGAAATGGGACTGAGAAGAAGAGGCCTGCTACATCGAAATGAAATGGCGCGTTACGTCACGCTTGAGTAGATTTTTTACTCAAAAGTGACGTCACGCGACATTTCAACTCAATATAATACTGTATAATTCGATAATGAACAAAAATTAAAAAATATGTCTCCAATATTTTTTTATTATCTGTCTGACGGACTAAATAGAATTTCGATTTCATTACCCAGTCATCATCCTTATTATATTTAGATAGCTTTAAAAACCACTAGGGTTTGATGTAAAGCTAACGAGTTTGCAGTGGGTATAGTTATATTTTCAAGGTTTATTAAAAGAAAAATTGGAAACTTGTCCATTATGGTAACTGACCTTGAGACTGCTAAGTGAGATTGTGTCCTCGCTGGAGCCTTTGGCCCGCGAGCTTCGCGGCGGCGTCGGAGGCCTCTTCTGCTTCGAGGATACCACCTTCTGGAAGACAAGCATTTTCATTTAGAAACTAGCTTTCAAATGTGGTAAGTCTGGTCGCCGAGCACATAGAATTTTGTCCAATGACCCCAAGCTACCCATCTTTATCGCTCGCGCGTAATTATATTGCTGTCGCGACTGTGCGACGCGCGCCCGCAGTGAGTGTGCGAGCGCAATAGCAACATAATTACGCGCGAGCGATAAGGATGGGTAGCTTGGGGTCATTGGACAAAATTCTACGTGCTCAGAGACCGGGCATTAGAAAGGCCAATGCCCATTTTCCTAAGGGAATCGGTACCAACATGCGTCAACCTAAATTCACTCTGAAAAATCTAGTTTTTATTTACCTTTTCGCTACCAACAAGATTTTTTTCAATATTTAACCGCATTTTCAAAATATTTAAAAAGTTAGAAAACGCCTGAATATTTTTTTTAGCAATGATTAATCGTCGTGTCTATACTAATATTATAAATGCGAAAGTAACTCTGTCTGTCTTGCTTTCACGCCTAAACTACTAAACCGATCTTGATGAAATTTGGCATAGAGATAGTTTCAGTCCCGGGAAAGGACATAGGATAGTTGTTATCCCGGTTTTTGAACAAACAGGGACGCGCGAGATAAAGTTTTTCTGTGACACAAAATTCCACGCGGGCGAAACCGCGGGCGGAAAGCTAGTGTTACATATACTCTTTATCTATGCCTATCCAGAACACGAACTTCAGACTGTTATAGATATTAACTTATGAATAAAGCCCGGTCTATGAGCACGTAGAATTTTGTCCAATGACCCCAAGCTACTCATCCTTATCGTTCGCGCGTAATTATGTTGCTATCGCGCTCGCACAGTCGCGACATTCTACGTGCTCGCAGACCAGACTATACCTAAACTTACTGCGTGTTACTTTAAATTAAACAAGCTGTGCCCGTAACATTTCCTATCTTTGCAACATTTTTATACACAGTACTAGTACAACTTATACAATGCCGTATTACTAAAAATATTGAGTTATAAAAGCCAGTTACGGGCAGTTCAGTTTAATTTAGTTCAATGACTATTAAGGCTTGGGCAGACCAAACGCGGTGCAGTAGCAGCGCAGTTTGAATGCGGGCCCGCGCAAGTTGTAATACAAGAAACTCTTTGAAGTGTGTCACACCAAATTTGAACGCGGGCCCGCGCTCCAACCTGCCGCACTGCAACAGCCGAACGACAAACGAGGCGGCGCGGGTGCGGGACAGAAGCGGCGCGAACGCGGACCCGCGCTGTTGTATTACTATGGCGGCCATATTAGCATGACACACCGGACGCAGGGCGGTAGCAGCGCGTTGAAAGCGGTTTTCGAATATAAATTTTGACAACCGCCCGCGTTGCAACTGCTTTGAAACTGCGCTGCTTTCAGTGTGCCTCAGCCGCGCTGCAACTGACCCGCAATGCATCTGACCCGCGTTTGGTCTGTGGAAGCCTTTAGCAAACCACTTAAACATTTATCAAGGTATTATAAATAAAATAACTATGTGTAATCAGATAACATTTAATGTTTTAAAGTACTAAGTAAGTAAGTAGTTATTATAATGATTGTAATCTTTTTAACTCATTTAAAGAGAGCCAGTACAGTTCATGTTCATGTGTTTGGCATCATCAACTAAATTACAACTGTGAAATTAAATTGGTGGAAGAATTAGCGTCTGTCACACAGTTTAAATTTAACTATAGTCTATCCAATATAGCTTGATTAGAATGACGGCTGTCAAACGAATGTGACTAGTGCTGGGAATGTTTCGTACGGTTCACATAGATGTATCGATAAGTTTTCGAAAAAATGATATAAAAAAATGCACCCAATTCTTCTTCATATCTTTATTCATAAAAATGACAATTATGATTTAAATTTAAAGACAGTAAAATTTAAAATTCATGTCAAGGGTGTACAACCTAAGTCGTAGTCATTATCATCAGTGTTCTTCAGTGGTTTTTTCCTCTCGCTAGAGGGCGGTGGGCATCTCTTCTAGAGCAACGGTACTATGAATACCCAAAAAATTACCGGTGATTGATTTTCGATGTTTGATTATTTATAAATGAAATGTTTTTTGGTTTTTGATAGTGAACATCTAGAAAAACGTATAACTTGACTTAAATATGTTAAAAAATTAGTTACAAAAAAATTTGTTAAATATGTTAAACAATTAGTTTTAATTTAATATGACATTTGTCGATATGTCCCAACACTAACATTTTTGTAACTCGAGATAACCTTGTAGAGACGTCGTTAATACTCTAGCTTGATTTTTATAATTTCGAATTACTACTTATTGGTGTAATTTAACGCTGCATTTACACGAAATTAACATTTTTATTGGAAGCACTGTCGTCGAAAATATTGTTTGTAGGTCAGACGTGAATTATTTCTTGTCCGCCAATATTTAGCTCTCATTGATCGCAACTACAAAGTTATGTCGTTACTTTTGATGGCAGCTGTCATTCTAATCAAGCTATATTGGATAGACTATAGTATAGACGTTAATGATCCCTATCTTAATACAGCTCCTATTGTTAAGTGTAATTTTTTCGTTAAGATACCATGAGCATTGTTAAAGACACAATAAAGTTATTTATTATTATATTATTATTATTATTATGTGCAATCAGTGATTGGCTGTGCTCGCTGCTTGTCTGTATACAACGTGTTAAGCCATGTATTTATTAGGCAACATTTGTTGATAAACTGTTTATGACTAGTGTGTAACGAGTTTACCATAAACACAGGTTTCTGAAACTTGGCCGTCCACGCTTGCTAACATGTATCATAAACAATGTTTCATCACTTATGTTTATGGACTGTTTATAAACTGTTTACAGAGATGATGAAACATTGTTTATAAACAGTGTTTATCAACAAATGTTGCCTAATGAATACATGGCTTTAATGAAAAAGCGGACACCCCAACTTATTTTTATTATAAAAAAGATATTCACTCTTTTTGTTTTCGCCCCGCGCACTTGTTAACTCTTTTTTAAAAGTAAAGTAAAAGTAAAAAATGTTTTATTTGACAAAAAGAGCGACATCAAATTTACATAAATTACAAAAAGAAGAAACATTGTGCCATTTTACGGAAACGTATTGACCTTTCACACGCTGATTGCAAGGCATGCACGCCTATGAGCTGTCGCGCTCGCACACTCACTGCGGGCGCCCGTCGCACAGTCGCGACAGCAATATAATTACACGCGAGCGATAAGGATGGGTAGCTTGGGGTCATTGGACAAAATTCTACGTACCCACAGACCAGACTATAGTAGTTAACGTAGATAGTTCATTCCCTCTGATAATAGAGTTAAGTAACGATTAAACACGGCGTAATTAAAATATTTTTTTTTTGATAAAATTTGACCCTAATTTTTTATTAGTGGAATCGATTCTACTCTCGATTCCGAACAAACCAATTTCAGTTTTTGCGCTTTTTCATTAACACGTTGTATACAGGGTGTCCCAGAATGGGTGAATCAAACTGATAGGGGAGGTAGCTCTACTAATAAACTATCCCAAAAAAATATGAAAAAAAAATAATAAAGCGCATAAGGAAATGAAAAAAAATTTTTTTTAAAAGTGAAAATAAATCAGCTATGCCTAAGTATCTGGCTATAATTGCTTCGTTTGGAGTTTATTTGTCGGCCGTTTGGTGTAGTGGTTCAGAACGGACTACTAAGCCGAGAGGTCCCGGGTTCGATTCCCGGCCGGGCAGAAATTGAAATGATGAATTTTAATTTCTGTGACGGGTCTGTGTGTTTTCTATGTATAAATATGTATGTATTTACAAAAAAAAAGTATATAAGTATGTTTATCCCGTCGTCTAGTACCCATAGTACAAGCTTTGCTTAGTTTGGGACTAGAGGCGTAGTGTAAAATGTCCAAGGATATTATTTTATTTGTACTTTTTTCTTACTAATATTAATTGTACACGATCGCTTCGTTTATCTATAAACAAACTTTTGAAAATAATGACTAGATTTCGAGTTGAGAGCACTTTATTAAAAAAAAATCCGAACTCAAAATTTTTTTTGCATATTTTTTTGGGATAGTACATTAGTAGAGCTACCTATGAGTTTGATTCACTCATTCTGGGACACCCTGTAAAAGAGGCAATTCTTGTTGTGGTGGCTCGTTTGTTGTTTGAACTTCTTCTCCCGCTGGCCTTTGACGATCATGTTTTTGCTGTCTGTCGACTATTCTAATGGCTGCCCTATAGCATGCAGCACACGCTCTCTCAAGTCTGGAGACCTAAAATAATTTTAAAGTTGCATGAATTTTTAGATACTTACTTAATAGAAAAAAATATGGATTAAAATCAGGGATGTTATGGATATCCGTAACCGGCTTATTCCACTATTCCCCGTTGACAATCTCCGTCAACGGGGAATAGTGAACTTTTTGTTCACTACGGGAATAGTGGAATAAGCCGCCAATCGGAACTTATAATGGGGAATAATGAACTAAAAAGTTTTAACGTAATGGGGATTAATATCCCCATTACGTTAAAAATAAAATCCTAATATAACGGGGATTAATGAACTTGTTAGTTCATTATTCCCTATTATAAGCTCCAATTGGCGTTGACGGGGATTAGTGAACAAAAAGTTCACTAATCCCCGTTGACGGGGATTGTCAATGGGGAATAGTGGAATAAGCCCCGTAACCGTAACTTTCGGATATCCGAAATAAAAAAATATCCGTAACCGTAACCATAACCGGTTCAAAGGTAACCGTATCCATAACCGAAACTACATATCCATAATTTAAATCCATCCCTAAATTTAAAATAAATTTTATTTTAATTTACAATAAATACTTATTGTACTTACGAGATGGGCTGGTGTCCATTGCAAAAAGACATTTCGCTGAGGAAATTCAGGTTTTATTTGATATGTCCTTCCTTTAGTGCGTAACAATGACACGCCACAGCCAAAACAAACGCTTTGATGGCCAACTTCAGGGCTGCCAATCGTTCCTTCTTGCAACAGTAAGTAGCAATCGTGGCATATTATGTGTTCCGCAGTTACCTGAAACAAGCAATACTGATTAAATTGTTCAACAAAAATGGAAATTGAACCCAGGACGTCTACAGCAATGGCACATTAAGTCACAAGGCCATCAAAAATATTGTAAGACAAATTTTGCATGCCTACTAGTATCATTAATGCTATAGTCTGATTTTTAATTCCACGGAATTTTGACATTTCAGAAGTGTTGCCAACATTGAAAGGAGAGCATTTTCACAAATTAAAAAACATGCATTATCAAAAGTTACTTGAAAACTTTCTTGAATTTAAGGTTTCAATTGAAATACTAAGACTTAAGAATGTACTGATTATTTATAAATAGTTATTTAAGTTTTTATTTATCATATTTTTGAAGCTATAGCCTGACCAGGAACATAAAAACCCTGGCATAGAGGCGCGTCAATTGCATTTGATAGTGCAACACTGAGTACAGTCGTACCTGTGTTAAATTAATAGGCTAACTTTATGTATCAGGATTCAAGATTACGGGCTAATTTGATATTTTCATAAATTAATGAAAAAGTATTATTATAGGTAACCTGGTTTAAATAAATTAAATGAAACCATCAATTGAGCTAGTAGGATTTATTTTATTATTCATCATCAGAACTTAAATATTCAATTGCAATGTCTGCTCATGAACGCTTCAAACTCGGTACTTCTTTCCCAATTCCATAAAAATCAACACTTAGAAAGTGACAATTTTTTTTAAAATAGATAGTTGAAACAAACCACAGCTAATTTTCATAGTGGACTGTACTATACGATAAACATGTCAGTCAATTTGACAACCTTTGTCGGAAACATTATTCAATGAAAATATTGTCCGAACCGTTAGTAATTTCACTTCGACAAATACTTTAACACAATTGTGAACCACTTTTCTTTCACGACTATAAAAAGATTTTAGCAATTTAATTCACAAAATCAATTGCGCACATTTAAAATCAAGTTTGTTTACACTTTGACAGCAATAGACTGACATGCAAGGTGACATGTCAATGAAGTTTTCAGTTACTGTTGCCATTAAAAGAAATTAGTACCATTACTTTTCCGCAACATGGCGAGGGTTTTTATGTTCCTGGTCAGGCTATACAAAAAAAAATAGGGACATTATATTTCTACTAAGATACCAATAACCCATAGGTTACAAACCTTTTTTATGAAAATCTTCGCTTCATAAAATAGCCAATTTAACAAGAAGCCAATTTTATAATCCAAGCTGATTATGATGACGATAATGTTGATTGATGATCAATACATATTTTCGTTTATGATAATATGTTGTTTTACTGTGTTAAAAACACGTTTTTTTTATTTTATCTCTAAAATGTACATAATAATTACTGTACATTGAATTCACAAAACAAACAATAATTCATTCATGTAAGTTGTACTTGATGTAATTTCAAGTCATATTTTTTATGAGTAATTCAAAGCAAAAAAGGCTCATTACATCTGAATTGTCAAAAAATGACAGCTGTCAGAATTCCGCCGAATTAAAAATCGGACTATAGTATAACATTAATGTGACTTCGTACAAACTCCAAAATATACACAGATCAAGATCATGAATACGTTTATGAACGAGTAATGAAAAAACTTACCAGAGTAGGTGTCACCCATGAGTTCAAAACTTCGCGTATTTTGTTGTGCACATTTTCCACTGTGTGTATCAACATGTTCCTTGGTACTGCCAAAGAACAGTTGATACATCGTCGGCGATTGATCTCTTGAATCACATTGCCTGTTCGATCCATTTTTACCGATGCCATACGCCGGCCGGCCGGCATCTATAAACAGTGGGCTAAGTGTGAGTTTACATATTTTTTTTAAATGTATAAAAAATTTAGTTTTTGAACGTTTCCCGCTAGGGGCGCTGTACTATCTGTCATACATTAGATGACATTTTTTGACGCGCTCACTAGTGAGCGCGTTTGATGAAAACTCACACTAGACCCTCAGTCACTATCTCGATGCACCTCAACTCAACACTGTCAATAGTCAATAATAGTTTTTTTTTAAATCCTTTGAAGTAGTTTAATCTACTCTATAAAAATAAGTCGGGTTTTCCTCCCTGACGCTATAACTCCAGAACGCACGAACCGATTTCCACGGTTTTGCATTCGTTGGAAAGGTCTCGGGCTCCGTGAGGTTTATAGCAAAGAAAATTCAGGAAAAAGACAATGCCGGAAATTGGCGTCTTTTTTTTTTCGCGCGGCCATCGACCAAACTTTGTTTTTTGATTACAAAATAGTGTAATAAACCAAACTTACTATGACATGTATACCTCTAAACTCAGTCTGAACTGAGTTACGAGCATTAGAAGTTTGACGATTTTCATACTAAGTAGATTTGCTTTTGCGCGCAAAGTTTTGTAAGAAATTGCAACAAAATAGTGAGATTGTATGTGTAAACAAACAATACCATCCATTAAAGGCTCCAGACATCAGTATGGAGCAGAATCAGTGCAATAAAAAAATAGCGCAATATTTTGTTACAATTTCTTACAAAACTTGCGCACAAAAAGCAAATCTAGTATGAAAATCATCAAACTTCTAATGCTCGTAACTCAGTTCAGACTGAGTTTAGAGGTATACATGTCATAGTAAGTTTTGTTTATTACACTATTTTGTAATCAAAAAACAAAGTTTGGTCGATGGCCGCGCGAAAAAAAAAAGACGCCACTTTCCATACAAAATCTGGCATTGCCATTTAACCAACGAAATACCACGCGGGCGAAGCCGCGGGCGAAAAGCTAGTTTATTATAAAAATCATGTCCTCATGTGCTCATTGTCCACTCACGAAAATAGGTGACAGCTGAAATAGGAACAAAAAAGTTTTTGTTTTGCGGATATGCCGTTTTTGTGCGGAAGTAGGTAATTACGTTTTGCTTATTTTAATTTTCTAAATCCGGTTAAGAAAGACGGTTTAAAATTAATGAGGTACACATATAAATAAAATATTAGTTTTGATGATAATTAGCCTGTGACACAATATTGTACGGCAGAGTAAATACAAATGAGTAAGTCATCTTCATAGAATACGTATGCTGCGCGCACGCACACACTGACAACATTCGGCGCAACTCCCCGCTAATCCTCGCAAAATTTTGTCACTGTGTGCGTGCGCGCCGCATACGTATTGGCGCGCTCACATACAAACCGCGCTTGGTCGTTTCTATGAAGATGAACCACTCATTTGTATTTACACTGGGTACGGGGATTTATTAATCTAAGGGTATGGGCACGGTAATACATGGGTAATGGGCATTGGCCTTTTCTTCTTACCAACTAAGACATTCAATTAGATAGAAAGAAAAATTTTTGTCATCATTTCAGCCACAGGACGTCCACTGCTAAACATAGGCCTCCCCCAATGATTTCTACATCGCTCGGTTGGTAGCGGCCTGCATCCAGCGCCTTCCTGCCACCTTTATGAGGTTGAGGTTTGTTGGTTCACTTTGTGTAACAAAACGTATGTAGACGCAGAAAAATCTTTCTTTATTCATATTACCATATGCAGATTTTTATCTTTGTGCTTGCACAAATCGTCGCTTGCCTCTCTAACTGACGTAAATGACATTTTGCAAAATTTTCAGGTGATTAATTAAAGCCTGGTCCGTGAGCACGTAGAATTTTGTCCAATGACCCCAAGCTACCCATCCTTATCGCTCGCGCGTAATTATGTTGCTGTCGCGCTCGCACACTCACTGCGGGCGCCCGTCGCACAGTCGCGACAGCAATATAATTACGCGAGCGATAAGGATGTGTAGCTTGGGGTCATTGGACAAAATTCTACGTGCTCACGGACCAGGCTTTAGACAGATCGATTCGTCTTGCGAAATTGATTAAGATGGTGTAGATAACTCAGTTTCGAAAAAAATGTCAGATACGTCAGTTAGAGAGGCAAGCGACGAAATTACTAATAGTCCCGTTAGCCCCTCGTACTAAGCTCCCAGCGAGACCGAGACCAAACGTCGGTGGAGCGCGTCCGAGTGGCTGAAACGATCTAAGATTCTAAATAACTATTAGAGGAATGTCACTTGATGATGTTAATCATGATTATGAGCGTGAATTCGCAGATTGCAAGTAATAAGGTAGTAAACAAGTAATTGCACAATTTTCTCTGTAACAGTAAGTAGTGCCAGGCCTGTTCATCTCCGCGAGTTTGCATGGAAAACAAAACACGCGCGACGGCACCTACTGGGACATTTAATCGACAGGACACTCACGAGCGAGCATTGACACACGCACGTGTGTTCTTCACCCATTTGCATTGTATTTTGCATTGTAAAGACAATAAACTATGTCTGATGGAAAGTAGAAAAAAACGGTGGTTTAATTAATACTATGCAGTATTTTAACTGCCTGAATAATTATAGAAACACAAAATATTATTCATGCATTTCCTCATGCATGTATTTCCTCTGCAATTTTCCACAGTTTGGCACCTCACGTCACACATTATTTTACCGAAGTCAGCCCTATGGAAATCGGCGCTCTACCGATCACTGACGTATGTCAAGAAAACGGTACTCGACTCTTGAGACAAGCTAAATTACACCATATTGTTGACGACATTGAGCATAATTTTTTTTAATACCTTCGCGAAGAAAACCTTCTGTACGTAGTACTTATTATTATTCTGTGGTAGTATTAAGTTGATTTTAACTGATTTTACAATTTCAATTTTACCTTGACTTTTTTAACCTCAGGCTGCTTGCTCCGCCTCGTGACAGGTGCCAGCGGTTCGTCTGAGTCATCATTCTGGTACACCGGCTCCGTCACTCCTAAGATACAGTCGCCTGAGTTTGAAGATGCGTCGGAACTCTGAAACATTTTGAAACAACTTTATTTTTTAGATAAATAGAGAGGTGTTTCTCTATTCTATCTTGGTTGAAATGTGTCCCCTAGCTTTAGCCAAATTATTCTAAAGTACAATATGTAAAGATATACAATATGTATATACAATATGTACAGGACCGTTCATTGTGGAAAACCTTGGGGGAGGCCTTTGTCCAGCAGTGGACGTCATTTGGCTGAAACGAACGAACGAACGAACAATATGTAAATTGTTTCTTTTTATGGGACAAGAGCTTCCCTGCGTGATCGAATCAGAAATGAGGAGATCCGCAGGAGAACCAAAGTAACCGACATAGCTCGCAGAATTGCTAAAATCAAGTGGCAGTGGGCGGGGCACATAGCTCGTAGAGACGATGGCCGTTGGGGCAGGAAAGTTCTCGAGTGACCACGGGCTGGAAAACGTAGCGTGGGCAGGCCTCCTACTAGGTGGACCGACGATCTGGTGAAGGTCGCGGGAAGAGCCTGGATGCGGGCAGCGCAGGATCGTTCATTGTGGAAAACCTTGGGGGAGGCCTTTGTCCAGCAGTGGACATCATTTGGCTGAAAAGAAGATGGGACAAGAGGCAAACGAGGAGCCGGATCATCTGATGGTAAGTGATGGTGATCACGTATGGGCTACCGCCCATAGACACACGCAGCCCCGGGAGAGTTACAAGTGTGTTGGCATGGGGCACACTGAAAACCAGCGCCGTGGCCTTCGTCACCGTGGGCCACGGCATATGCTGAGTGGGGTCCCGTTGCAGTGGGCATCTTGTTGGTGAGTGGGTGGCACTGCTCAGTTTACTCTTGTTTTTATTTTTTCTTCTTTTATTATTATGTGCCACTGTCATGTCTATGTAATTGCCTGTATTTGTGTGATGTCCATTGTAATAAATGTATCTTTCTTTCTTTCTTTGTTGCTGGCCTTAAAATTATAAGTTTGTACTCTTCTTGAAAGATTGATAATATTCACCTTTTACTAGAATAGTCATTGTCCAAATTATAGCCTGACCAGGAACATAAAAACCCTCGCCATGTTGCGGAAAACTAATGGTACTAATTTCTTTTAATGGCAACAGTAACTGAAAACTTCATTGACATGTCACCTTGCATGTCAGTCTATTGCTGTCAAAGTGTAAACAAACTTTATTTTAAATGTGCGCAATTGATTTTGTGAATTAAATTGCTAAAATCTTTTTATAGTCGTGAAAGAAAAGTGGTTCACAATGTGTTAAAGTATTTGTCGAAGAGAAATACTAAGGGTTCGGACAATATTTTCATTGAATAATGTTTCCGACAAAGGTTGTCAAATTGACTGACATGTTTATCGTATAGTACAGTCCACTGTGAAAATTAGCTGTGGTTTGTTTCAACTACCTATTTTAAAATTTTCTGTCACTTTCAAAGTGTTGAATTTTATGGAATTGGGAAAGAAATACCGAGTTTGAAGCGTTCATGAGCAGACATTGCAGTTGAATATTCAAGTTCTGAATTTGATTATTGACGAATAATAAAATAAATCCTACTAACTCGATTGATGGTTTCATTTAATTTATTTAAACCAGGTTACCTATAATAATATTTTTTCGTTAATTTATGAAAATATCAAATTAGCCCGTAATCCAGACTCCTGAATTACATAAAGTTAGCCTATTAATTTAACACAGGTACGACTGTACTCAGTGTTGCACTATCAAATGCAATAGACGCGCCTCTATGCCAGGGTTTTTATGTTCCTGGTCAGGCTATACTGCTTTTACACAATGAAGGATTGGTAGCCACGATAGCCGAACGGTGAAGGGGTCGGAATGGCCGACTCGAGATCCGAGGAACGCGGGTGCGAATCCCACCGCCGCTCGACTATTGTGGTGAGCCCACTCGTGACACAAGCTTATTTAGCTTAACACGAGGGGCTAACGGGACTATTAGTAATTTGTGCAATACAAATTGCTAATAATCTTTAAAAAAAAAAAGGTCGGACTGGCCAACTCGTAATCCGGAAAACGCGGGTTCAGTCCCTATTGTGGTGAGCTCACTCATGATACAAGCATATTTAGCTTAGTACGAGGGGCTAACGAGACTATTAGTAATTTGTGCAATAACAAATTACTAATCTTTTTAAAAAAACAAATAAATGATTGGATAGACAGTCTACATTTTTTCCATTACACTTAACAAGAATAAAATGTTTTCTAATAATAATAAAAACATTAAAAGAATCTTACCGGTACTCGTGATGGATTCTGCGGTGGCAAGCCTAGCCTCATCCGCGTGCGTTTATTTGTGCGTTGGCAGAGCTCGACAAACTCGTAGAAATCGTTTACTTTGTCTACGCAGAGTTCACAGATTAGCGGAGGCATCTTGTCATCTGGGTGCACCTGGAATTGTTATTTTAAATAATTTAAAATGATGGTAAAGCCCACTCTGTGAACACGTAGAATTTTGTCCATTGACCCCTAACTACCCATCCTTATCGCTCGCGCGTAATTATAATAATAATAATAATAAGCCCCGCAGGGCAGCTTTGTGGCGAGCTGTTGGTGAGTAGCGACACCACGGGGCCAGTTGTTAATCCGAGTGCTCCCGAGAGTCGGTCAAGACCCTCGTCTTCGGCTTGCCGAAGTGGAATCCGAGAGGGTCTGCAGGACTTTCACCTCTGGCTTGCCTTAACCGGCCGGCCAGAGTGGAGTCGCTAGAGCTATATGCTCCAGGGGTGGAAGTGTTAAAGGGCATAACGCCGCGAGTAACTTCGGAGAAAGCGCAGCACACCTCTCTACACCCCTGAGTTGGCAGACGCCAATGTTGCCCCTCAGTCCGGTCTATACGACCCATGACGCCAGGGGGGGCCCATTTAGTCGCTGGCTAGTCACCGCCTGCCATTTTTTCAGTCCGAGACTATGAACCAGGCAGGTGTCCCGTAGTCTCCATCCATAGCCCAGTAACCAGTCCCAAGTTTTTGGAATTTCTGGAAATTTCCATTTTCTACTATCCGGGGCCGTGGTGGAAAATTTTCTTCCAAAATGGTAGTTTTTTCCTATTCATGGCAACACTCGAATAACAGACCAACAATCGCCCGGAACATTGTACCCCACTCCGGTGTCGCCATCTACCGGAAGTTTGCTGTCAAAGTTTTGAAATTTTTTGATCGCAACAAAATGGCCGACGGCTCAGCCGCCATCTTGTTTTTTGATAATCTGTAAATGTGGCTCTGAAGAAGACTATACATGTCACAAACACCCAAAATAATTTTTCAAAAACAATTGCGCATCTCGGAGTGACACCTCCCTAAAAACACCCCGAAATCGCATTTTCAATCCAAGATGGCGGCGCGGCCATTTTGTTTTTCCGTTTTTTTCTAACATTTTTTAACACACCTTGGCAACCAAAATAAACTCCCAAAAAGGAAAAAATTCAGGACCGAAAACAAAAAAGTTGATGTTTCAAAAAATGCCGCCATTTTGTTTTTTGGTTCAAAAAATGTAATAAAGCTGGCAGTCGAAAAATCTAGTTTAAAACAAACACTAACAATTTTACCCCTCTCCCCTCTAAATACCCCAAAAATACCCCTGATCAGTCAGTGAGTCAGTCAGTGAGTGGTAATCGAGCTTTATATAATATAGATACACATTACAATGTCAACCTTTATTCCTTTTGAGTCGTCAATTAGCATTCAAACATAGAGTCATTTATTTTAATGTCAATAAATTCTTTGATGGAGTAGAAGCACTTTTCCAACAGCCATTTATTTAAAGTGTGTCTAAATTTATTTAATGTTAGTTCTCTAACTCTACTGGGCAGCTTATTATATACTCTGATTGCATTACAATACACATTATTAGAGTATATTGTAAGTCTTTGGCTTGGTACATATAATCTACTTGCGTCTCTGCTGTTAGACTTTCCAAGGACCGTGTCATGTAAAGGAAAGAGATGCGGATGGTTTTTAACAAACAAACAAAGTTCCAAGATGTATAGGCAAGGTGAAGGCAATATTTTAAGGCGCTTAAATAGCGGTTCACAGTGCTCTAAATAGTCGGCACCACTTATAGCACGAATGCATTTTTTTTGCACTCTAAACGCTCTTAGTACTTCAACTGAGTGTCCCCATATAATTATACCGTACCTTAAGACTGAAGACACATAGCCATGGTACGCCGACAAGGCAGTGTTTTGAGAGGCTACTATATCGGTGCGACTGGCACCCGCAGTGAGTGTGCGAGCGCGATAGCAACATAATTACGCGCGAGCGATAAGGGTGGGTAGCTTGGGGTCATTGGACAAAATTCTACGTGCTCACAAACCAGACTATAGAAAGGGAAAAACCACATATTATCATTGGAAAAATCTCATAAAACTCATTTATTTATGCAAGTAGGCTTTTAAAAAGCACTTTTACACGTCCCAGTATTAACCCTACCACTGCTTCGGGACAATAAATGGGCCAGTGCTGAGAAGAAGCAGCGCAAGAAACTCAGTCACTATCAGAAAAATGCACAAGAATGAAGGTTAAGTGAACTGAGCGGGCAGCGCAGGACCGTGTATTGTGGAAAACCTTGGAGGAGGCGTTTGTCCAGCAGTGGACGTCATTTGGCTGAAACGAACGAACTGAGCATTGCCATGCTAGGTGGGTTTGAATCCAGCTAGAGTAATCTTACATCATAATGCATTAATATGTTACAAATTATATAAACGTTTTTCTGTTTTTTTCACTATAGTATCAAACTATGATAAGTTTTATACTAAATTCAATTATTCAGGAAACAAGAAGAATAAAGGAGTAAGAAACTATTTGTACTCGATTCTTAGCCATAACAAGCGATGTATAGCAGTAAAAAGTACTTCAAACCAATAAAATTGTAAAAGTCTAGCTTCTCAAAATCGATGCATACATACCTACGTCGCATTATGTGAAGTGTGTGAATGAAATGTTAGAGGAAAATTTCGTAGTGATAAAATCTACTTCTAAAGGCTAAATTATGATCAGTTATGCTGTTAAATTGTAGTACTGAAATTGGAGTGTTGTTGTTTTGACAACATCACATAACCTACTTTTAAGTTCAACCACTATTTAATCGTGTTCTGTGCGGTTATATTACACAAAATATAGCTGGAAAGGTAACTTATTGAATTTAAAATGAACAATTTACCTCAATTTGCACGCAATCCCGTATTTTCTGAGTCAATTCAATACCACTAGCATCCAAATCCACAACATTTTGAATTATCGGCATTTTGTAGCCAGCCCCGGCACCGCAAAGACGACATGCTCGATATATCTCATAAATTGTCTGCTTTTCTGTGTTAGAATTTATAATTCGATCCATTTTCACTTTTTTTCATGGTAAAATTTTCTAATGACGAATACCATTTGCCGCTTTTCCGCCATTAAAAATGTTACCATATTCTGAGAATTTCTACTATTGTAGTAGAAGACTGTTTGACAGTGCCACTATGGGTTGGTCATTTAAAAAAGCTTCGAATATTATGTTTGAAATTATGTACTCCCTAAGTCCCAATAAATAAAAAATATTGATTTTTAACAAATTAACTGTGAATAAATACAGCCTATACTTTTTTTAGTATTACAGAAACAACATAAGATTTTTTTTAGTAGAAAATGTACTGTTTAAGTATAGCAAGACTTTAACTTTTTTTTCTTAAAAACATATACCCAATGACGTAGCAAATCTTTAAAAAAAACCTGGCGCCATTTTCAAAGCTACTTGCCAGGGATATCGTACTTCGATATATAATAATATGATTGTTTATTAGAAAACAAAAACAAGTACAATATTCAAATGCAAATTATCAAGCATCTGCTCATAACAACTAGTCGCTTAATATTGCTCACATTTTAATATTAGGTACACTAATATAAATATTTGTGTCTGGGCTCTTAACCCCTAACTTTTTACGTAAAATAAGGAAGAACTATTATGTACTCCCACGAAACCATTAGGTACATGACAGTACATGACATACATAGCAAGGAAACCTTTGGTCTTTAAATTTTAGGTACTTAAATGAGGTCATTGGTCATGAGCATGACATGAAAGTACCAATACACATGACCCACAAACCAGAGTGAATTGTTTGAGAGAGGCTGCGACTTTGATTATCGTGTACCCGCTAAAACAACGCTAATGCTGGAGAGCAGAGACGTGTACGTACATACGTTCAAATTGGTCATACCTACATGACATGTGAGGAGTAAATATAAAATGAAAAGTCGACAAAACCATCTATGTGTAAAAAAAAATTTTTATTGATATTGAACACAATTTTTGTTGTTTATTTAGTTAGCGCCATCTGTTGAGGGGTAGAAAATACGCAATGCCTTTGCTGCCATTTTTTGTAGTTTAATTTTTATATCGAGCGATAGATGGTGCTAAAAGACATTCTTAGAAAACAATTAAGTGATTTTTTTTTGTAAATTGGGAACGTAGTTTTAAATCTTCTTACAAAAACTCAGAAGTCAATATAATAACTGATATTTTATCTACCTAATCTAAATTATTCAGAACCACAAAAATGATTAGAATTTAACATTGCTGAAAAATCAGAATTAATTTTATTTATTTATTTATTTAAAATCTTTATTGCACACATAAAAAAACAGTGGTACAACAGGCGAGCTTAATTTAACGTATAAATTTTAACGTAATGTAGGTAATAATTTTCGTGTATTTGGGAAGTAAAGAGATTCTTAATTACTATAAAATTTTATTATTTCCGTACTCAAGTTCCGTAAAGTAAGAGGCTTTTAAGTGCACATTACAACTTTCTTCGTGTAGTAAAACCGCATCTTTCAGTCATTACTGTTTTATGTAAACAGCGTAATCGCGATTACATTACTAATAGAGTTAGGCAGAACGCACGACAAAAAATTAGACTTGGTGTTGGAAGTTTTTCTACAATGACAGGAAACAATAATACTTAACTACTTGGTTAACAACATAAAAAAACGTTATAAGATTTTAAAATTTCGCGTTCCATTTCAACTAAAACGTCACGTTAAGACCCGTGTCTTACTATTTTAATAAAAATAAGGTTTACAAGATTTAGACATTTTGTTAAATCTGTTTGTACAATTGTTTGTGATCCCTAATAAAATTAATCTAAATATATAAAAGGAGAAACTGACTGACTGACTGACAGATCAACGCACAGCCTAAACGGCTAAACGTAGGCACTTGAAATTTGGAAGGGACGTAGCTTAGGTACCGTAGAGGTGCACTAAGAAAGGAATTCCCGAAATTGCCACGGGAACGGGAATTAGCGGGAAAAACGGGATTCACGCGTACGAAGTCGCGGGCGGCCGCTAGTAAAATAAATAAATAAAGTAATTATTAATAGTGAGTGTTTTCTGGGATTCCGTGCTAGTACCTAGTCCGCTAGGACTTAACTGGTTATTAACCGACTTAAAAAAGGGTTCTCGATTCGACTGTATGTTTTTTCTGTTTTACATAATGCCATAAGAAAATTCTCTTCAACCCTTTTGTGTGGTCGTTTGCGGCGGCCCTTAGCAGGGCTTGGACGAGAGTAATTTGTAGAATTACCGTCATTGTATGAACCGTTAGTGCCATTTGAACTTACAATTACACATTACTTTTTCTCTTCTTTTTTATAGCAGTGATGATTATTTTATATCATAGTTAATAGTTAATTGTCACTGTTAAGTTAATTTCTCAGTGATAAAAATCATGGATAGTTAGAAAGATGAAGATGGTTTGCGTTCCAGCTGCGTTGGTTTGAGTCCTTCTGAGGTAAAATTTTGGGATACATAGTTTGAGTAATAGAAGTTTTATCTAAATCGCTATTGGTACAGATGGAGCAGCTTAATGTCATGTGGCATTGTCTTCCAGCTAACCAAAATATTAGGCAAAACAGGGAATTTGAGTTGAGTATAGTGGGGTGGCCGTTGGCCAACCGGTATATCACGGCTTTTAGCCCAGTCGATCGTGCCATGGCTAAATAATTTTCAGTTTTATGTTTTCCCTCTTAATAAAAATAAAAAAATATTACATAATAGTATACTGAATCTGTTTCAGGATTTTAGATCGCACAGGGGTTCGTTAGTAATCTTAAAATGAATTATAGGAACAATAACTATACAATTTTTACTGTTAAAAGACTTTATGTACCTACTTATCTGTCCCAAAACTACTAATTTAATGGTGGATCATAGTAGGTACCTACTAACTACTGTTTATGTTTTCTTTAAAGTACGCTAATGCATTTAACAGTAAAAACTCAGCCATAAAGTAAAAAGAAGCTGTAAAAACCAACATAGCTGTAATCTATGGTCGCAGATTCATCTAAAAAGTTTTCACCGAAAAGTTAAGGGTCATAGAGAAACTAGAGCACAGCATAATAAACGTAAATTATTTGCGCACATCGCGCATCTTTGAAACTTTCCCCGATCGCGGTGACAACGTACTCATAACTGTTTCTTGCTTTAGTTTGGTAAAAAGCGCGCGCGGGACCACACGCCATTTTGGTGCGAACTTTTCCGACAAAACTCCTTGCTCTGTGTTTATTTTTTTATGAATGACATTTACGAAAAAAGAAAATGATAGTGATGTGACAGATACGTATTAGGAAAATATATCGATAACTTCGAAAATAAAATAATTGATTTAGTTTTTGGTAAGTCGTATTGTTTTGTTTACTGGCCTTTTTTTTTAAAAAACATTAATCATTATTTACGAAGTGTTTTCAATTAATTTGCATACAAACAGGAATGCGTATTGCAATTGCAACGGTATTGCATGGATATGCATATGACTAGACGTAGCTAAAGAGGCGATTGCTCCATGTACATTGGATATTTAGAAACACTTAATCGCTCTTTGAAATGATTAGGTAATTTTTTTTGAAAGGATGCAAGTATTTTTTTTGCTTTTGAATTTTTCAGATATTGGCCAAGTATTTAATTTCTACATTTGTGTATGAAGAAACAATAAGAGAGCGGTGTGATAGAGTTGACGTAATAATATTGATAAGAGAAAGTCCTTAAAATTTTAGCCTGTACGTTTTAAAAGTGAGCTTTATTTCAAGTTTGAAACTACTTTCTATTCGAAGTCCTTTAAAAGGAGCCAGCCACGCCAGCAGGATCATGTTACACCCAGGATAATTATGAAAAAGACACAAACTTACAGGCACATGTACCTACAGCTACTATAAATGTATGATTTTTGATAAATGAGACCCATTCAGTTTAAAATATTCTGATAATTAAAAAATTAAAAATATGTTTCAAATATTAAAAGTTGAGCGACAGCCCTTTAATACCTATTAAAAACCGACCAAAACCGTCGTTATTCTTGTCTTGATCATTGTTTTTTTACTAAAAAATATTTCTAGCCTAAAAATAATTTTAAGATGTCTCACTCGATCCATTTATTTATTTTTAAAATGTGAGAACAAGACAAAGTGGGTACATTTTTTTGGGAAATGTGTGATATTATTATCGACAGAGCTATATTATCAGGTAAAGCCGCAGACTGAAGGTAGTGTTTTAAAAATAGGTGTTTTCCAGTAACCAGTGAGGTCAATAAACACGTGAGACTGCCCTTTAAGTAAGTCGTTTAATTGACTTTCGTGGCATACGATTAATTGATATGTATCTGAACCGAGAACTGCGAGGATTCTTTGTTACGATTACTACAGTCTTGCAGGTTACTTAGTTAACCACTATTGATACTTTCCTTAATTCACTTCACGTAATGTAGACTTTAGCCGTGTGGTTTAGGCAGACGACTTAATTATAAATAGGACTAGCGGCCGCCCGCGACTTTGTACGCGTGGATCCCGTTTTATCCCCTTAGTGGAGTTTCGTAAAATCCTTTCTTAGCGGATGTATATTTAGATTACGCCACTACGTATTTGCTATTTACTATTTGCTATTTACACCAATTTGCGAACATCAGACCTCCCCAACCCATCTGGTTGGTCAGTGTTGGAAATGCCTGGGTAAATCCTCCTCCTCACTGATCTACAATCTGATCCGCAAGAGAACTAAAGCACAAAACTAAAGTGAAGAGCTGTGTGAAGTGGAAATCCTTGGGGGAAGCCTTTGTCCAGCAGTGGACGTCATTCGGCTGAAACGAACAAGTAAAACTGAAAAAAAAAAACGATTGATTCACGTGGAAATTGAACCCTCACGCGACCTTTTAACGCCCGAGGTGACATTGTTTCAAGTTTTAAAATTGGTTTGAAATAAGTTCGGCATTTCCAAGGATTTCCACAAAGACCAGTCCTGCGGCGTCCACATCCAGGCATCTCCCGCGACCTTCACCAGATCGTCGGTCCACCTAGTGGAAATCCTTGGGGGAGGCATTTATATCCAGCAGTGGACATCATTCGGCTGAAAATGCATACATTCTCAACATATTATCTGAAAGAACAGAAGCTAATAAAAGTTTCTAAAATTTTCATTCTTAATAAAACCAACACGCATCGCACCAATACAAGCAAATGGAGTTCCGCGCATGTCACATGCGTACCACATTTTGCATTCATGAAGCACAGTCGACAGTACATCAGACTATACTTTTTTTTGCAAAATTAGATAGGTACTCTTATTACTAACATTAGTAAGATGTAAGATACCAGTGACTGGGCTAAGATTGATGTGCCATCATCGTAGTTAACGCGTTCTCCGGACAATTTTTTCAGGGTAAATTCAGACTTACCCAACTTGTCTGGCCAGCCGTAGAGAGTGCTGCCTCTCTTTTGCCTCTGGTAAATTAGGAAGGGTCTCCCTCCTATAGGAGAGACTAAATATGACAATGATGATGATCATAATAAGATAAAATTTTATCTAGCTTATGAAGTTCGTTTTTCATTTAATTGTATCAGATTATGTCGCACGCGCCCCGCTTCGTATCTCGGCGCAACGTTCTCAATTATTTTAATTAAAGTAATTTATACATATAACAGACGCTAACTGTACCGCAGTCAACCGGTTTTTATGCAGAAATGTGTACTGCAATCCAGAGTATGCTAATTTTCTTATCAGACTGATTTAATAAAAGGTTTAACGTGATACTTCTTAGTTTATAATGAAAATATTACGGTAAAGAACTTTTTATGCATTCACGTACAACGAAAGCTTAACGGTTTCAGAAGAATTTGGCATGTTCCAATAACTGTAACAAAAGTGTTTTTTTTTTTATTTATTTATTTACAAAACCATTACAACAGTTAAGTAGGTATCCCAATGCAAAAGTGTGTTATTTAACTTACTTAGCTATAATACCTAATTAATTCTGTTAACTTATAGTATTAACTTTTTTCTTTATTTTATGCTAGGTAAGGCAGGTATTTTGACCACAATCGCACCTGGTGTTAAGTGAGATGCAGTCTAGGATGGTACATACATACCTGCCCTCTGAGTGCCTATTAAATTGCATAAAAAGCGCAAGAAATCAATATGCATGTTGCATGGTGATAGTCATTAAAATAAATAACTTTTATCAGTGAATAAGAAAAGTGCTAGTATCCATTATCGATCCAATGATGAAAACCGGAACACCACGCTTACTGTGCTCTTCGAAGCGGTTCTTATAAACACCATCGAGCGGTCACCCATCCACAGCCCAACCACGCCCAGCGTTGCTTCACTAAGATTATGAATGTATTGACATTCTAGTATAGCTACTATTGCCTCTACCGCGGGTAGAATGCTAGGCTTCGCCTTATTACCTTCTACACCACTACTAGGTTTAAGACGCTATCCTTTGATTAATCCTTACAAAAACCCCGGCCTTTTCAAGCCGACAGTGAATAAGGACTTACAGGGCAGATGCACCATCATAGATAGCATTCTCACAACATTTGGTCATCATCATCATCATCATCTCAGCCATACCTGTCCACTGCTGAACATAGGCCTCCCCCAATGCTTTCCATGTTGCCCATTGGGCAACATTCTGTCGATTGCGGTAAAATCAAGCCTTGTTCTGCATAAAAAATATCTCCTAACTGCCTCCTAATTACATTTTTTTTCGTGTAACAAAAAAGAAGTAGTTAATTTGGCACTAGGAAGTCTTACTAAAAAATTATGTTGACATGAATTTTAAGTATTTCCAAATAAAAGTACAAATATTTTTATTGCAAATGGATGATTAGGTAGGTAGTAAGTACCTACTACTTACAGAAGTTTTAATGATGGGAGGTACCTACTATCCTTCAAATAAATTGTTGTTTCTGTCATAATAACACCATTGAAACGACCGTGCGAATGTCCGTGGCAATTATATAATTTTGGTCAAGTTCCTATTAAGTAATTAAGTATGTTTCACAAAACTTTTGTGACTTTGATCGAATAACCTTTGTTTTTAAGGAGATCAAGGCTTATGACCTTTTGCGAGAATTAATACTTATATTCCTACAATGTTTAAATACATAAAAGTGCAAAAAAAAATGCTTTTATATGTAAGTGTCATGTAAAAGGACTACAATGATAAGATGTTTTTCCAGATTATGTCCTATGTTATGGTATAAAGACGCGGATAACAGCTAACTATAGGAATAATATCAAACCAAAATTTCAGAAGTCTCATCGTCAGAAAAAAATAATTTAATAACTCAAAAGATGAATTTCTATTATTAGGAACAATTCTTTTACTAATCTCTCAATCAATAGATAATTTTAATATTGTTTTAGAATGATTTTTTTTTCATTTAAAAATAGTGATTAAAAATAAATATTCAAACGCAAGTCTCTAAACTCCAGTTTATTTTAGGTAACAAATTAAATGTATATCAACAAAACAATTAATTTTAAAGCTCAACGACAAGTGATCGACAAAAAATTATCATCGGACGTTGATTTATTTATGGTCACAGACACAAATAGAGAAAAACGATACGGTTTCTATTTTTAGACGCTCTCGGTAATCGACGAAAGAAATCAATTGAATTTTATCGACAGGTCATCGGGTCGAATGTTGACATCACTATCTCTAGCGTGGTATGGGTACCATGGCTTTTAGCTTCTTTTCTTTTGTCTTCATTATCATGATGGCGAGAACCTAATATGTAAAAGTTGTATGGGAAAATACAGTCATTATTTACTTACGTCGTTAAATAATAATTTCGAAGAAAGAAACTCGGCATCGGCAGATTATTAAAATTTGTATCTAGCTACCTCAGAAATACTCAGAATACAGAACTATGAACTTGATCGAATGTCTCCATAGTTTAGTGGTTAGAGAAGCTCGACATGCGATTAGGTCGTGGGTTCAATTCGCAATTAAGGCAGTTTTGAGATTTTTTCAAGTTTCGTTTGAAACTATAGGGTTCGTCACAAATTAACGTAGTACCTATAGGTAAACTGTAATTTAGTTGAGGGTTCCTATTACCTTAAAATGTTCCATACATCTAGTTTTAAGTATTCTGTTTTTATAAAAAGCAAACCATTACAATACTGACTGACTGATCTCAATGTAGGTACATACAGCTCCATCAAAACACTAAACGGATACTGTCTGACTCAGAAGGATCTCCAAAATTCACCCCTTATAGTGCGTCCAGACTGGGCAAACGGGCTCGCGCGGCACGCTGGTCATCCTGCTCACCCTGCTCTTGAGTGAGCAGGATGATGAGATAGCCGCGCGAGCCCGTACGCCCTGTCTGAACGC